AAAGTCATTAGAAGGTGCAAGACCGTGGTAACCCGACCATGTTTAGGTGGTTACAATAAAGCGATCACCCAGTACATTGTGCTGGCTTTTAAAATATGTAGGATATTATTTGCAAGTTTACTACGAATATGTACACAAGTGTTACAAAAAACTACATGTTTTTTAAATAATTTTTATTTAGGATTGTTTATTGCATAATTAGTAATCAGCCGGGAGATTAGGTATTGTTTTGAATGCTTTTGTTTTCTCGTAATGTTTAGGTGAATTGTTTATAGTTGTTCATAGAATTGGTACCTGTGTAGTATTTGTTAATTGAAGTTTAATTTTATTAAATTTGTAATTTGTATAATTTGTATGTAATTGTTTATCAAATAAATACTAAATACTAAAAAAATAATAATTTTAGGGTAGGTATAGGTAATTTAAGTTTTGAAGAGTGTAACGTATGCGTTGGAAATAGGTATCTTGTGAATAGATGGGGTTTTTATTAAGTGATGAATCGACTTAGGCTAGCATATCGCGAACAAACTCTGTATTGCATTATTTCTGTAATAATGTTGGAGAAAATAAAATATTTGATCAGAAAATCGCGGTGAGTTAAAGTATAATAAAATAAATTATTTATGTAAAATTAGTAATAAGTGATATACCTACCTACAAGTTATGATCGTTTTTAATTTGTTCACCCCGAACGAAATTTCAATATTAGCATTAGTAATTAACATCCTAAGACAAGAATTCTCAATTACTTAAATTGAATCGAATTAGCATTAATGTCTATTATTAGTAATTAGGTACATACATATTGAAGAACTCTCAAGAATACGATAAATATTTGCAAAAATAGAAAGCGGAAGCGCACACGTACTTTACAACACGTATATTATCTGCCTAAGGGTCAAGTTTAGTGCACTAGATGCAAATTGCAAACAATAAAGTATCCCTTCGCCCCTCCCCTCCCGCGTTCTAGCGAAGGATGTATTATCAGCGATTCTTGATTGACAAATATTATCTGACCAATAATTTTATCTATAAAAATGTATCACTTTCGCTCGATAAATTAAATTACCGTTATTATATCAAAATATCATTCAACAACTGTTCGTTTTTAACAGAAATCAACAGTCACGGGCTCGACGCTTAACGGTAGGTACATAGGTATAGATAATTCTCGGTTCTAGGTATAGACCACAGAACAATATTACCTACTCTTACGAGGTATACGACTGTTGAGCGATGCAATGTTGATGCATTCTAATTTACAACTGTATTCTTCTACTATTCGGTCTATTTTAACTTATTGTAGATGACTTGTTGCTTTAAATATTTTGATGCATTCAAGTTTAAGCTCTATACACCCCAAAATAAAATATAATTACTTTAGTGTTATTTCTTTACAAAAAAAAATCAAAGAAATGAAACGATTTCTTATTGGTTTAAATTTTCGTTTTATTGCAGTCAGGTAAATCGTTCATACATGTATCTACATATTTATAATTTTAGCGGACCAGTGCAGATTTTCAGTTGATTGTAGCCCCGGTAGTAAAAAAGACTAAATAAATTTAAAGTAAAGAAACTAGTGCTTAAGATCAATTAGGGAAAAAAACAAAATAAATAATAGGTAATAATAATGAATAAATATTGAATGTATTTAACACTGTACGCAACTGTACCGAAATCGTAAAGTCGAAATCGCTTTTTTGTAACCACCTAAACATGGTCGGATTACCACGGACTCGCACCTTCTAATGACTTTTATTTAATTATCTCGTAAATTATTATATGTACGACGCTGAAATTCTACAGGTAGACAACTGAACTAAACAACTAATTATTGGCATAACATTCAGTTTATATATCCACACACAGGTTTATCGGTGGCCAAAAAAGGCCGCACACATTGTGATCGTGAACGTGGAGAGCTACATTTCATCATAACTTTTTAGTCACTTACAGTATTCTTACGAAAATTCGTATACATTTGAAGGTAGTTACAAGCTATAGAATAACGTTTCAAGTAAGTCTTTAGAGGTCTTATTTAAAGTGCTAGGACGTATTGAAGTGTTTTCATACTTACCTAAATAATTTTTAAACGGTCCATTATTTTTTTATTTTACTGTCGAACAAATTAAAACTAATCCTTAAGAAGTTATGTACAAAAGATGGTTACAATCCGCTTACCCGTTTCAGAGATCCAGCAAACCCACAAACGTTACTCCAGCAGGATTTCGAATAACTTCGCAGCCGAAGAAAATACAAATACCAAATAAGTTGCAACAATTACCTGGTCCAGATAACTAATTATTTAGCTAAAATTTATTTCAATATTATAATTAAAAAAGAAAATGTCTGGCTGCGGTAACGTTTCAAACGTTACTCCAGCAGGAAATGTTTTTTTGAAATAACTAAAAAAGTTTAAGTGAAACAAATTTAAAAATGTGCTTAACAATTACAGAAGGGGAGCAACTAATTATCTATAAAGTTTAAATGACCATTTTCGACATTATTTTGCTGGGGTAACGCACACGACTACTGTGTCGATACTTTGCCAACAATTCAAACATTGATAGTACTTGAGCAGTAACACAAATCGCAGAATTAATGATTCCTGTAATTCAGAATGTAAGTCTCAATGTATTAATCTGTCTCCTTGCAGGATAATAAGCAGAACAATTTTATTTAATGCAATTCGAGTGTCGAGGAACTTAAAAGTAGAAAGTATTTTAAAATAAAAAATACAACACTATTTTAATCAGTGTTGTATTTATTAAGAAAAGACGCTACACGCCTTTTACATCATAATGACTGTATTTTTACCAAAATCTGTATATTAATTATTTACAACAATTGAGATTCACATCCTACGCTTTAATCACTCAATTTTTTTATACTTACACAAAATTATTTTCTACTTTTTAGGTCGGCTAGTTACAAGTGTTTTTTCAACTTTTATTTATTAAGTACTAGCTTTTGCCCGAAGCTCCACCCCCGTGTACTTTGGTAATCGCGGTAAAAAATAGCATATGTTACAAGCTGATAATGAAGCTTTCCATTCGTGGAAGAATTTTTAAAATCGGTTAAGTAACTACTTAACCGATTTTAAAAATTCCGCTTCCACGCCTAAACTTAGGCGTGGAAGCGTTACAAACAAACTCACTTTCAGATTTATAATATTAGTAAGTATGGATCTGACTTTGGATAAATTGTTTTGAGGTATCAGTGGGCTCTTTGCTCGAGATTAAAAAACAGGTGGTGGTAGTTTGACAACAATTAATTGATTCTTCAGCCAAGAATAAACAATTAGGTTAAAAATTAATAAAAAACGTCATTAAACAAAAAAATATTTTAATTATTATAACATAAAACAACGAAGATATAATAAATGTCCAAACCCATATCCTTAAAATTATCATTACATATGAAGAATTACCTGCAAGGTATCATTTCATCTCCATAACTTGAATGCCATAATAAAGTAATAAATTGATTTTTGAGTCAATTACGAATGTATTTACCAAATACAATAATTCATTTCAATATTATCCTAATACCCAAAAACCTTATAAAATGCTTAAAATTAATAAATTATACTATCAGACTAGATTTAATTTCGAAGCTTATATACTACTTTCAGGTAATAAACAAGCGACTTCTGTATAAAAATGCAAAATTCTAGAAAAAATCCTATTTGGCGCCATGTCAAAAGTACACAGAGTGTAAATTATACTTAAGCTGTCAATATTAAGTAAGTAAGAGGTAAGGAGAACATAAAGATAAGATAATAGAGGTAGCGAACTGTATATTCCTCTAAAGAATATTGTATAATATTGTTTTGGTTTTGCATCTCTCTCCTCTCTGCACTGATTGGCTGATACTGAAGAAGGCATTTAACATAGCCAATCGATGACAAGAGCAGAGAGAGATGCAAGATCAAAATAATCTTCTTTCTCTCTCTACCAACCGTATGCGATAGCGCCTTTTTCGCATCCTCTATATTTATGAACTCTGAAGGAGAACCGTCTCATATGGGGGAAGTTGAAATAGTGTATATCTAGAAATAATTATTTTATTGTTATGTTTTTATTACAATAGTTCTAAAACCGACCAGATTAGCGCAAGTGTAGTCAAAGAGAATGCATGAACATAGCAGTTAGCAGAGTTAAAATATTTTTATTGTCTGAAAGTTATTGTGTGTAAACCTCATTGACTATTTTCGCAGTTTAGTACACAGTGTAGTCAATAAAAAAATTACACAATGTTTTTGAAATGAATACTTCCTTAGACGCGTTAGGCATTTTTGAACAACCAACAAAATGATGTACTTTATGGTTTAAGAAAAACACATTTTTTGAGATGGCAAAAAACCATTGAACTCGCGAAACTGTTACCGTTACCGACACCTCTGTATCTAAGTATCTACATATATTGGCCCCGTTTAAACGAGAGTTGAGTTTGGATTGAAATACATTGATAATATAACTTCATACACATATATCATATAAACATAAATTGTGTATTTACGTAACACAGATATGTAAAAAATACACACGTAATTGTTCAAGTTTTCACTTCTGACGGCACTCCCGAACTGCCTCTGTTTTTTCTTTAAATATTTATTTCTCTATCCCACTCCAACAACTTTTGGCGCTGTCATAAAAATAAATCCTGATGCTACTGTAGCGCCCCCAATTATCGCATTTTGACGAGACACTTTTCATACACAGAGATAGTTCTCCTCACCTCTACACTTCATAAGCTATTTGAAGTTATAAAAAAAACCTATGTAGGTACATGCATATTTAAATATTACCTAATGGATATTCCTGTAGGAATGTAGTTGGTGCTCTACGACCGACCTACTATAAAAATGGAATGCGGATCGTTAATATAATTCTACGAGTATGACATCATTTTGATTTTTATGGGGCTATATTCAAGTTGCAATTAAATGGAAAAAGATGTGTCAGTACGTGGATGTGAACGCCTCACATATTTAATAACTATTTGGCAACTTCAGGCGGGCAGTCTGGCTGTGCTGATGGGTGAGCAGCGCGGAATGCTGGGTGATTCTCCAACTCGCGATCTATACGAAGAATAATAGGGAAGGGACGGAGGTCCACATGGAATCTGCAAATAAACCATTAATTCAGTGTTTTTTTTTATGTAGATATAGAGATATGGCTAAGGTCTTATTTAGTTATTTATTATTTTAATCCATACTATTAGAGGGATTAAGAATACGAGTATGAAAACTGTACCAGTGGAAACTATTTAAAAATAAACTTTTCCTTTTGTAGATATCATTACCATTTTCACAAAAATCGCAAAATTTATTACTCTTAGCTTATGAATGATACTTGTATGTAGTGTACCCCACATACAGTTTTAATTTCATAAAGATATATTTAATACTTTTTGTAAAAATAAATTATGTTAAAAGTTTTGTTTGCCATTTATTCTAACGGCGATAGGGTCTGACGAGTTAGTTCTAATAAAATTTTCAAGACTAATATTCTGTAAAAAAAAATTGCAGTACATAAATAATTTCACTACAACACACTACTATTTTCTATACACACACCACATCATCACATCAACAGCCTTTAATGGTCCACTGCTGGACATAGGCCTCTCTTTAGGTTTTGGTCTACTATACCACGCTGGCCAGACGGGTTGGTCTATATCAACCCTATGGTTTGTGCCAGTTTTTCCTTCTCTTTGCAGTTCTGTTGTCTTTAGTTTTGCAGTTCTGTTGTCTTAGTTGGCTTTCATGACACCCACGGGATGAATATTTGTGGTGACGTTACGTAATCTTAATCCGACACCACACGATTTACGCTCTGTTTACGATCGTTTAAAGTTCATATCAGTCCGAAAATGTTTATTTCACAGACTGGTTATGCAGGGCAAAAAGTTTCTTAAACAGTATTGGAGTACCATCTATTCTTAATAAGGGACGGAAGTTTCCAGAGAGTGGCAAGATGGCATTCTTTTTTTTTAAGTATTATGAGTAATGTTCAAATATTCTTTGTCTACAGACCATTAATTTAAGCAAATATTACGTTTATCTCTTTACCTTCTGGCATTAAATACTTGTGGTACAAGGCAACAATCTGCAAGTGTTATCTCATCTCCCACACAGTATTTTCCGGCAGAAGCTGAGAGCAGTTTTTCCACGGCGCGGAATCCTCTCGTAATCCAATGCTGAGCCCATTCTTTCTTCTTGTCTTCTCCAACGTAAATTAGAACTATCAGGTTCTGGAGTGGTTGGATACCCGAAGAAATTACCTGGCATTTAGACAAATTATACTATAGCTAGATACAAAACTATATAAACTTTTATACCAAATGTACAGGCGAACATCAGACGTAAATAAACTAAGAAAAAACTAAGGAGATTTTGCACTAAGGGTTTAGGATACGGATAAATTAACTATTTTTTGTAAATAATGTATAACATAATATAGAAAAATTCAAACATTATATATCATGAATACAAATATTTACACGAAGCGGGACTCATACATACGAGGCAATTGATTGAAATAGATTTCTAGTCATTCGATAAGCGACAAAAATCGCCAAAGAATTCACTTTTATCGATTGTAAGGCAGAGTAGTCTGACTGAGGACTATGCTCAAATATACCCAAGTATGCTATATGTAAGAGTTAGAGTATTATAGTTACCTCACAAATTTCACGAACTTTGGAGCGTTTGAAGCAGTCTTGCGGCATCAGGGGCCTCTGTGGTCTGGTCTCTTCCAAGTAATGCATAATGCTTAACGATTCCACCAACGTGTGGCCATCTAAGTTCAGAATAAATTTTAATAATTATTGCTAGCCATAAAGGTTTTAACAGCAGAGGGACAGCTAAACCCGAAATACGAGGTGGCATTATTTAAGTGGGTGTTTCAGTTTCAGAGACAAGGTCCTTGTTCTCCGAATACTTTCGATGCTTGCCATTGCTTGTCGGGTCAATGGGGGTCTTTATCCACCAACATACTTTCGGTTAGGAGGGATGACAGTTACATTACATGTAGTAAGCCTCATCTGCTTTTATTTCTTGTTTGAAGTAGTAACTAGTCGCGATGTGTGTTATTTAAATACTTATATAATATTTATAAAAATAAATATATATTTTTTTTGTCGTTATGGCTTAAACATCCACGCTTCGTCGATAGGTCCGATTACGATACTGATTCACGCATCTTGTTATCCGATAAATATTAACTTAACCATATTTAATGGAAAAAGCGTATGTCCTCGTCTTTGGTTGCTTAAATAATAACAAGAATCTGAAAGTAAATCCTAGAGAAATGGGTGTGAACACACATCTATAAATGTAAAATACTCCCGACCCAAAAATGAATTTTTAAATTCATATCCATGGTATCAAGCACCTGAACTGAATTCACACCAGTCCATCCGTAAGTCCACAGACCGATACAGATACATCTATACGTCAGATACAAACAGGTTAAACTTATACCACCCCCAGCCCCACCTCTTTTGCGTAACATTGATCCAAAAAAAACTGTCCTTCTCCTTTTTTAGTTTTTCAAAAACTAGTTTGTTCTAACAATGACATTGAAATACAATAAATGTTCTTACCAATACAAAGAGATGGGACTTGTTCCATAGGATTGACTTCTCTGTACTCATTGCAGTGCTGTTCACCTCCCCCTTTAATGAGACTGACTGCCTTAATATCATATGGTATCTCCTTCAGATTTAGCGCGATTCTGACACGCCAAGAGCATGAGCTACGCCAGTACGAATACAATACTGGCTGAAATAAACAATAAACAAATCATTAGAGGAATACTGTTCACTAAAGCAAATTATTAATATTGTTTTGTAAAGAGAATTCTCATGTAAAAGACTTTTTCAAAGTTGTTTAGTAAATACGTGAATTGTACAAAAGTTATGAAATAATGCAAATAAAGGTTCAAACATCACTAGTTGGCTTGTTGGTCAATGATGCTGACTGCTGAGCTTTATGGGTTTGATTTCCACCCAAAACAAATAATTTTGTGATGAGCACAATCATTTCTTCTGTATGTGGGTTGAATTAATAATTGATTTTTAGTTTTATTGTTAGTATTGTTTATAAGTATCTTTACAATAGCACAAGGCCTTAGTTTAGAATCACATGGCTCTGGTTGAAATGTATCTAGATATAATAATAATTATTATTGGTATTATGTCTTTAGAGAGAATGACCACCACCAAGAATTGAAAATTCAGCAGAAGCATTTTAGCGAAAACTTAAATAGGAATTTTATTAAAGTTTTTGCTAGAAGATGGTTAAACATTCATTATCCCTGTGAGTTAATAAGAAAGGTTGAGTGTCAGTGTTTACCTTCACCATTAAATTAATGATAAGTTGTTAATACGCACATGATTTCGAAAAGACAGTGGTGCATGCCGTGAATGCGAACCTGATACCTCTGACTTTGTACTCCAACGGTCTCCCACTAGGCTACCACTGCTGGACTTAAGTATGAAAATAAAAGAATTAAGTCGGTACACACAAAATGAAACATGGACAGCACAGTTGTTTATTTGTGAATAGAAAAATTAGTATAGGTAATGAAATAAGCAAGCAAGCAGTTATTCTGAATCCCAAGTGATATTCTTAATAGTATGTAGATATTCCTTATTTACAATGTTACAAAATTTATAAGTAATTATTTACCTTTTCAGTAACTGACATGATTGTATTTAAAGAATAAAATTCAACAGGAACTTGAGCTTAACAAATATAATAGGTATTTTAAATGTGGTGTCTTAAAGGCAGAGCAGTACAACTTTGAGCTACTAGTTAAACTTGTTCTATCAAACCACAGAAATAACTACACTGTATAGGAAATATCACCAGCAAGTTAAACCAGTTTGTGTATCTACACTTTGTAAATGTATCTGGCAAACAAGATTTTTGAACAAATTGAAACCTTATTCTACTTGACATAAAGTGATGTTTCTTAAATTTTTACAGGTATAATTATTATTATCATTACATTTATATAATGATATTCTAAATATTTATTTAAAGTTACATATAATGCAGTAGGTATTTATGGTCAGAAACGCCCTCTTAAATTTCGAAACACAAAATATCAAGATTAGGAATATAATATTCGTTCTCGTTATATATATCAAAAGACAACTATCTAATAACTTATAAATTTAAAAAAATGTTAGTCTAGCGTAAAATTAATGAAATGGTATACAGGTCTGAATGCCGTAAAAAAATAGTTTTATTGACGACTGGTATCGCGGGTAACGAGTAGCGAATAAATATTGATAGGATAGGAACTATACCTTAGCCATAGTGGAGGAGTTGCCGTTGTATTTCGAGTAGTAATTAATTTTGGCGGCGTTTATTACACGATTTGTCAAAATTGTATTACAAAAATAGCTATGTAAAATTAATACATTCAATTTGATTTATTAGCACAAGCGGTGATTAGCCCACATAGTGTATACTAGATAACATTTATGACATGGATAAGCTATAATAAATTAAATAGGGAAATGTACAACACATAACATAATAAATGAACTCTTGTACATTACTCTGGCTGGCTAATCTGTCTATCAGCTATCAGCTCTATATCTATAGGGGTTGCGGGTGTGAACGCCCTTTTTCTTGTTTTTCTACCACAAGGTATAGTTTTTTTCTTATTTAAATCTACTAACACCCGTGCAATCATGAGGCTAAGTGTAAAAAAGCAATATAGAGTATTACAATAAACTACAAAATGTCTTTACATTTTGTAGTTTAGAGTATTGCTTTTTAGTGTTTACAAAAATCTGTCCCCTTATACTTTTATAAGGGGACAGATTTTTGTAAACACTCGTAGACTGTTTTTGTCTGCAAATTGCTTCGTATAGAGGATGGACTGCTTGACGTTCCTATGAGCAAAAAGATTACGATACTATATTTCAAATTTTACTATTTATTTATAACTTATGACAATTAATGTATGCTTAATTAATAATAGGTAATAAAAATATTTTAGGCAGACAGGTATTTAAATACACACAATATAAAGGCAACACCAACGGTTAGATTTATTCATTTTGTTCTGCATTAAAAATGAATTCAGGATCGTCTTCGATCGAATCGATTTTTTAACACACGTTTATATTACGAAAAAGTGGGAGATAGTATAAAAATAAACAGTATTTTTAAATTGGAAGTAAAAATATTTTTACGGAATGAGGTGTTAAGCACAATCATCATAAGAATACGACCTGAGAGCTAGCAGCACTGATGGAATGTCAATGTCATGTTTAAAGTACCAATTTCTTGATATACGTACCATTTTTCAGGGTCTTAAACAATGTACCAAACTAAATATTTTGATCACCCATAAAGAATACCAACGTCCTACATGGATCATCCATACATGATGCGTATGATTTTGTCAGAAAATAATATAAAAATTCGTTCAATGTAACTCATGGTTGATTTTTATTTTATTTTTTTCAAATTATGTACAGACATTTATAAGATCTAATAATAAAAACGGCAACGAAAAATGATAATAATTATTGTTAGTTATAATATTAATAATAACTATTATATTCTTTTTTATCAGGTTTGTATTTATTCAAGTATATGCGTAAGTATATATGTGTATATCAAGAATTTCTTGATAATTAAAAATTTTATTTAAAAGATCATTGAAAATAAACGATTTTATATTATTACTTTTATTAAATTAACGTTATTGTTAGTGTACCAACTTTTATTTTCATATACCAGCTTTTAGAGACTTCTAGCAACATGTGTACCAGCTTTGGAACACCACTCTTATACCACTACCACAACACTCGGCTTGGTCAGAGATAGGGGTTTACGTTTATGTCAGTTTGTGTCATGTGTCATTAGTTTACTTCGTTTTAAAGTTACATTTTTTAAAGTTTATGATTTTACTTTAATTATGGGAAAAAATAATAAAAAAGGCCCAAAGGCCAATGTATTTAAAGTTGCTGGAGCAAAAAGCCTAAAGAAGAGCAAAGCCAAAGCGGTCAATTTAGGCCTTAAAAATGTAAGGTTATGTTGTTATTCATAATTCTTAAGATTTTTCATTTACTGTGCTTTATAACAGTAATAGTATGTCTCATTTTTATATTCACTTGTTATTTTGTGTAGTTTAATTTTTTTTGTTATTATCAATTCGTGTACTTTTTCAAGAATATTTGCTCCTGAACTGAAGACTTGACTTTATTTGTGCTTGATTTTACTATTTGTTAAATTATTATTAGTTTTTAATAAGTCTGTAAGAAAACTTTGCGGCACGAAATTTATATCAAATTAGTTTATTTGTATTTGATTGTTTTACTGTGGTCTATATAAAAATTATCTTTTTGCGCACCTCCTTCTAAAAGGGGTTCAAGGTACGTTTTTAATGTACAAATTATTTGTTAGAATGTATATCGAATGATGAAAAAAGGAATTCAGGATATATGCAAGAATATTCCTGGATCACCATAGTCCTAAATAAATGAGGAAGAAAGGAGAGGGCTGACCTGTATTTTGTATTAAAACTATTATTATATAACTATTGTCTAAAATTGTGTAAAATTGTCTTTTGAAGTAACAACAATGGCTGAACAACAACCGCCTGGTAATTATTGTTGTCGAGTAATTGTAGCTTGCTACTTAATGGGCTGTCACCTTAAGGAATGTATTGTTACTTATTTATTTAATTTTTTTATTACCAAATGCAGTATTTAATTATTGCTACAAATATTTCAATACAAGCGTGAAGATACATTTAACCTAAATCTTGAATAGTACTGTATGATTTCTTTTTTTAATTTTGTCAGACATTTCTTTTCTCATTTCATTGACTTTTATAGTCTATAACAGTCCACTGCTGGACATAGGTCTCTCTTGAGAAAGAGGTTTTGGTCTACTATACCACGCTGGCCAGACGGGTTGGTATTGGGTTTGTTTCAAGTTTTCCTTCTCTTTGCTGTTGCTGTTGTAGTTTTACAAGTTGTAGTTTTTATTACAACATAGTTTTCTCCCTTAGTCAGCTCTTACAACACATACAGAATAAATAGGGGTGGCGACACTTCTTACTCTTAATCTGTCGCCACACGGCAATTAAAAGGTCTTACTAGAAAAATAATATAAATAAATATATTAATAATAAACAACTTCTATTACTATGTTTATAACATTTAAAGAAATTGAAATATCAGGATCTGTTACAATAATGTATTTCCAAATACTGCAGTAATAATAATAATAATAATATTTCAGACATTTAACACATAATGCCATCTAGTATCAAACTAAGCAGAGCTTGTACTGTGAAAGCTAGGTTGACTGATAGAATTTTATATAGCTTTTGTGTATAAATACATATTATACACAGAAAACACTCAAACTCTGAAACAAATATTTGCAGACTATACAAACATTTGGTCTAACCTGAGATCTCAGCACAGCAGTCACCAATGGGTAGACTAAGTAAAGATTTATTGGTTTAGGTGTATTAAAACCAATTACTTCAAAATAAAGAAAATACATCTTATATATAAAATTCTCTTGTCACAATGTTAGTTACCATACTCCTCTGAAACGGCTTGACCGATTCTTATGAAATTTTGTGTGCACATCAGGTAGGTCTGAGAATCGGCCAACAAACATTTGTCATACCCCTAAATGACAAAGGTGACCCCTAAATTTTTTGTATGGCAAAACAACGTTTGCCGGGTCAGCTAGTAATTTATAAAGAAGTTTAAGTTAAACAAAGTTATAAAAGTAATCAAAAAATGCATCCTGATGAAGTATTGTTTATTTTCTTTTGAGTTTTCTTTGTGTAATCAATTTGTTGACGATGAATTTCAATGGTATCAATATAACACCTTATTGTCAGTATGGACTTATGAATACAGATCTTGAAGGCATGTTTCAACAGTGATGATGTTGAAATAAAAAGCAACTGAGTTAAAACTGCTTCTTACGGAAGAACTGAAGGGAATTCTGACTTTTGAACTGACACATTCTCTAATTTTGTATTTGAGTTGCTATTGATTGATATGTATTGGTTATTATTTCAATTGTAGTATAGGCATGTTGTTACATGTCAAACTAAGTGCAAGTGTGTGTTTGTTTAAATGCCATAATCAAATCTGTCTCATCTGTTGTCAGTTTAAGAAATATTCTTGTTGCATAGATTTTTACAGTTTCCTATGTAACCTCTTGATAAATGTCGGAATTAATGTTAATTAAATTTCAGGCACAAATTATTAACCGCCCTTTGATTATATTTGTGTCTAGATACTGCATCCTCTTAAATATATTCTAATAAAACCAGTCTGAGTTTGACTTGTCACTTCAGTTGTGTATTTGAAAAATCTGCGCAAGTAATAAAATAGTTTCAGTCCACAAATGTGAAAAAAAAAACACCTTGGATCATGTTTTAATGTTTGCCTTCTGTGATAATAATATTAGGTATTTACCTATGAAATTGCCGTTTTGTATGCAATAAGTGAAAGTACTTATTTTTTCAAACTTTTTTATTTCTGTTATTCGAAGTAATCACCCATGCAATCGACGCATTTTTGCCAACGCATTGGCAGTTTATTGATGCCCTTCTTGTAAAAATCAGCTGGACGGGAGGCAACAAACTCTCCAAAGGCAAAATGCCTTTGAAGGTGGTGCCTCTGGTGAGTATGGCGAATGAGGGAGACCTTCCAACCCCAGCTCTTGCAGCTTGGAGACTGTCTGTTGCGCAGAATGGGGTCGACCGATTGACCAAAGCTGGTTGCAGATGTGACCACCAGATCTTGCACCTACCGACTATTACTTTTTCCAAAATTAAGACAACTTTTTAGTGGGTAAAAAATGCAATTCCCGAGAGGCAGTACAAAATGCCTTTGAAGAGTTTGTTGCCTCCCGTCCAGCTGATTTTTACAAGAAGGGCATCAATAAACTGCCAATGTGTTGGCAAAGATGCGTCGATTGCATGGGTGATTACTTCGAATAACAGAAATAAAAAAGTAAAAAAAAATAAGTACTTTCACTTATTGCATACAAAACGGCTATTTCATAGGTAAAGACCTATTATATATATGTGTTCCTTTTAGTGTTATGTTTTAAGTACTCGTGTTGAACCACTCTATACTGAATTGGCATTCCTTATCCCTGCACCATTTTATATGTTGTCTAATGCTGGCTACTCCATCTAGACATTAATATAATCAAAGTAAGTGCCTATTACCTGACTGAAAAGCTAAGCATTAGCCTAGTATTAAAGTTAGTTATGCGTGATTATTAAATCAGATTGTACAAAGTTTAGAAGTTAAATTCAGTGTTTCTTTATTTTTAGGCTGATATCACAAGAACATCCACCTCAAAATATTACCACACACCCGGTATTCGTCGATCATATATTGGTTACACGAAGACTCAGTTAGAGGAATGTTTGGCTGCAATTCGAGCAAAAGACCTCACTCAGCAGGATGCTTCAGAGTTTTATAAAATACCTTGCAGTACTATAAAATATAAATTAGCTAATAAGTCTAACAAAAACCCAGGCAGACAACCAACTTTCACTGACAGTGAAGAGGCTTTATTTGTTAAACACATATCTACATTATCTGAATGTGGCTTTTCATTTAGTAATTTGGATATAAAAATAGTTATAAGAGATTATCTAAATTCGCGAAATAGAACAGTACCGCTATTTCGAAATAATATTCCAGGCAAAGACTGGCTAAAATCTTTCCTCGATAGACATCAGTCGTTATATCGACGTCGAGTAAATGGCAGAGCTCACGTTTCTGAAGTTAGTGTTACGGATTTTCTTGAACAAGTTAGCAATGTTATAGAAAATGTAGAACCAGGAAATATTTATAGCTATGACGAGATAAGTTTTGGCGACGATCTTCTCAAAAATACTAATGTATGGAGGCGGAAAACTAAATATCCCGACATCAAAACTGATGCGCTTGAGGCTTGTTTCACAGTCATGTTTTGTGGTAATGCTGAGGGAGAGGCCATTCCACCACTAATCATTTCTAAATCAGAACATCGCTGCTCAACTTGGGCAGAAAATGGTCCGGTTGGTGCGTCGTATAGCAGCACAAAATACGGGTGGATCGATGTGATAACTTTTGAGAACTGGTTTCTTAGTCATTTACTACCAATCCTTAGGAAAAGAAAAGGTCGAAAAGTTGTGATTGGAGATAGTCTCTCATCACACATTAGCTTAAAAGTGTTATCTGCAAGTGAAAAGGAAAACATTAGGTTTATGTGCTTACCGCCTAATTCGATTCACGTGCTGCAACCTCTGGAAAATGTTTATTATCAACCATTACAACAAATTTGGTTTGAACTGTTACTAAGCTGGAAAATATTTAAAATTAAAGGCAATGCGGCAACAACAATGAAAGCTGATTTTCCTTGTTTATTGCGTGCAGCCTTAGATTTATTACCAGATATAAAGGAAAACCTAATTAATGGTTTTAAAGAAACTGGCATATATCCTTTGAGCACACAGGAACCTTTGAAAAGACTAAATAAAATTCGGATTGCAAATTTAAAAAGGAGAAAAATAGAGCATCGACAATACTACTCCGAACAATCTGGCTATGTTTCTGAACCTCTCGAAGAAGGATCATACAGTTGGCAAATTGAGGCACCAAACTCCAGTAAAGAGTTTTATCTGGATTATGAGGACAATATTTCATCGCCAATGAGTTGTAACGATTGGGAAGCTAGCGCCGAACCTTCGAATGATGTCTGTCTTGTTGTTGTGAATGGAGATGATATTCTCTTAGTTCAGTTCCAACAAAGTAATTCATTAAAGAATCTCCTCAATGTAACTATGGGCGATCACGTGATAGTCACCCGTGAGTCATATAACTGTCCGGGCAGAGTTCTTGATACAGGAGAAGAAGGAGCCTTTGTTCACTGTATGAAAAGGAGACATTTTTACTGGGGTTGGCCTTCCATCAAGAACACGCAATTTTATGATTGGGAACAAATTCTTTGTAAGATTAATGCGCCGAAACTTATTAAAAAAGGATGTTACTCTGTTCCAGAACTTGTATAGTTGTGTTAACATCTCTCGATTAAAAGACTGACACTAATTGTTTTAAAATTGTTTTTCATTTCTGTGTATAGTAATAAGAAAATATAATAGGAATGTATTGCGTTAAAAAAGTGGAGTAGTAAACAAATGATGCAGCAAATTGAAGTAACAAACATTTTTAGCGAATTCAAATATATCTATTTATATTCTGTTTAAAATCGTCTTGTTTTTATTCTATAAGAATCTATAGTATTTCGCAACGAGAGCAAGGTGAGATATGTAAAACTTGTTGCACAAAAAATTTGAACATGTATAACGGTGTTCTACTACCTTCGCGAAGTCTCTCGCTACAGACCATGTTTCAGTGAATGCAAAGTGAGAGTGCGTGAGATTCCGTCACTTCATTTTGTAAAGAAGTGATGTCCGATAAAGTAGCGGCATTTGCAAAAACTGTAACTTTAATGAAAGATTACAAGCGAAGGTGACACTGGAATATCTCAAAGATCAATTACCTAAATAAAGAAAATATTACTAAGTAACCCAACATTACTCAATATTTATTTATCTTTACAGATCAAGCAGAAAGTACAAGACATAGACAAAGAGTTCATGGAAATAAATAAAAATCCTAAACCTAGTCCAAGTGTACCGAAAGAGAAACCTCCTCGGGAAAAGAAAGAAAAGTCGAAACCAGTAACTAAAGAAGACGTATCAAAAGTTGCAGAAGCCGTTGTTGGAATGGACTTATAGAACAATTATATCATATTAAGCTAATTGTAGCGGCACTCGATACATCGGAATATTTTCAATTTGCTTGTAGTGAGTCTAGAAAATTGCGACGAATGTGTGCGGCTATAGATTTTAAGCTTGTTATTATATTACTTGTTAATGCAATGTCTAAATGTTAACTATTTTCAGGCATACCTCTTATGTTCAAATTATAATATACATAGGTATATTTTTTTAAATCGCTGTCAATTAAATGTGTTATTCTACCGTGTACTAATAGGAAGGTTACACCTTTTTAAAACCAAGTGCAGATCAGCACATACAAATTTTACTTAACAATACGGACAAAGATGGGTTTTCCATGATTTATAAGTACTTTAATATCTGTAAGCCCTATTATTAAATAAAAAAAAATACTTTATTACACTTGTCTTTTGTATTTATTAGTAAGAGATGAATATCGATATCCCCTTTTTAATGTTGTCATGGTTACAGTCATATGTCTAGGCTAATCGACTAAAATGAATAAGGCTTTTAAACTACTTTCACCACATAAAGGCAACGATGAAACTGCACTACTATTAGCAGGAGAGCCCTAGAAGGGATTTCGGGATTTACTCGAGCGTGGTAGATTAACATAGGAGGAATACCTTACACCCAGTTGAGGACCTCCACCATACATGACGCCTTATTTATAGAGGGGATCGTCTAGGTCAGCTCATCAGATTAGTTTCAAAAAAGTTCGAGACCAGAAATACTGTAAGGTTAACGTAAGTCGAGTCAATTACATACACATCAGTGTATTGACGATTTGAGCGTGACATAAAGCAGTGGGAGAGTCACAAAGTTCCAAAAAAATACACATGGTATTTCGAAATGGCGATTTTTCGAATTTGAAGTTGCATTTTCGATAAGTCGCTACCAGATTGTGTCACTTTAAAATCGTTAGACTTTTCAATGGGAACATTTTTGGCGTCTAAATAACATATCCCCAAAATATCCGATGCACCCGATTTTTTTTGTTAGATTTCCCCCTTTACATTTTTGGAAACGTGTAGAAGCTTTTCCCACCCCTGAAAGTGGAAACATTATATACCTAGCTTTTATTCATTCTATTACCTAATCTTTCAAATGCAATAGGTCCCCATGACGCTCGAGTAAATCCCCATTTAGCATCGTGGGCTTCCCAACTATGTTATAGTACTTTATTTTTTAGGTTGCGAATGGGGTTTCCAGCAGGCGATCTATTATAGCCACCCATCTGTTTGCCCGCCAGACAATTATTATATTTAAAAGAATGTAGTTTAGAATCGTCTAATGATGGCCTACTAAGAGCACTACAGAGACCGACAGCTAATACTCCCTAGATTTTTGAAGTGTTCCTGAGTAAGAGATCAATACCGCGCAATTAAAACGAATACCGCGAGAGATCAATCGTATGTTTTACGAGTGTTTACATCATAAATACTAGCTTTGTTCCTTTCTACAGGACTTCGATATTCGCCTAGTACTTGGATTGTGGAGGTCTGATGGCAGTCGCTCAGCGTAAAAAATCGAAGTTCAACCGTATCGTAGCAGACTTAAAGTCGATATCAACCTAGTTTGGGAAAAGACTCGGAGGAAGGAAGAGGACATCAAAAATACTAGTAAACACTTGCACTTCAACAAGGGTACAAAGCTTTATTCTAAAAACACTAGTTTCTGCCGCTCTGCAAGTTGGATTGCCGCTATCCAGAATGTAATATGGCGCCACGTCTCAGAAGACTAGACATGATAATGCATAAAGATGCGAGAGAGAAGAGAGAACAAGTGCCCCAATCTTGCAACATAGGCAACGAGAGAGATGGAGTATAGTCCCCTCTATCTCTTTCTAGCCCAGCTCTATGCTTGGCTGGGGAATGCGAGGGTTTATAAGTTGTCAATTGCACCTTAGTTCATCAGAGACAGAGGGAAATATCGGGCATCCATCTCTGTCGTTACCTCTATCGCTTCCACTTACAGGTGGCTGTACCCTGTGTTCTCTCTACGGTTATATCTCTATGTCATAATGGCTTTCCACTACTCATTCCACAATGTGATTGATAATTTTATACTTTTAGTACCAATGTCGTGGATGAGAAAGACAAGAATCAGTAAAAACAACTTGTTAATTTGTCTTTTATTGTTAAAATTTAACAAAATATAACATCATTAAACACTTATTAAGCTAGTAACATTTAGGGTTAAGGTTTTTTTGGTTAACGGTGGTAAAGATTTTCCTAAAAGTGTAAAAGGAAAAGTACTTTCATCGTTGCATAATTTGATTATGCAAAAGAAAGCGGGGTCACAGACATAACCACCTTATCGCTATCACATCATTCATGTCTACCCTAGCAAGAAAATGCTCACGAATGATATATAGCTAAACAAATTATAAATAATAACGCTTAAATTATAAATAAAATTAAAATTGTTTATTCTTCGTCGGTAAGATCCGGTTCTGCTTTTTCATCTTCACTAACGTCAGCCACCTGCTCGGCTTCTGCTTCTGGCGCTTCAGGTACTACTGCTTCAGGGGATTCTGGCTCCTCTACAATAGGTTCTGGTTCGTCTGCAGCCGATTCACTGAAAGGTATTGATTTCATGCTCTCATTTGCTGATTTCATTGCAAAATTGGTACATACAGCAGAGCAATGCATAAAATCTAAACTAAGTTCGAAGAGATCAATACCCATTATCTCAGCTTTACGATATCCATCTGAACTTAGGGATACTTATGTGGTAAGTATTTTGACAACAAATTATTATCTCTCGTAATTCAAGATTCAAGAGGTATTTAACAGATCATTTAAAATAAATAAAAAGCGTCGCAGTAGTGCCGTATGAATTGTTACATCTGATATCCCACCTATCATCTGACACTTAACTATAGCACCCCGCACGCTCATTGGTCAAAGACGAAAGATGTTGCACATCAATAAAAGAAGAGAAGAATATCCAGTGGCTGTTGCTACTAATGTATGTTAATTTAGGACTCAAAAATTAAAAAATATATCAATTTACCTGGCTTCGGTCTCAGGCACATCAGCCACTGAACCACTGTGTGAGAGCTCCTCTAAACGGGCAGCGGCTAGCTCCGATTCTTGTCTCGCCATCTCGGCTAATTCGGCGGCCTGAAATTATAATATTATATTATGACAATAGGTGTCTTCAATAGTTTTTTACAACTCTCATGATAATATTTTTAATGACTTAAGTTAGAAAGATTAGGTATCAGATTACCTGTCTGGCAAGTTCAGCTTCACGTTCTTCCTGTGCTTGTTTCTCTAATTCTTCTAACCTTGCAAGTTCCTCTTGTCTTCTCTGCTCGGCTTGTCTTTCCTCCTCAAGTTTAGCTTCTTCCGCCAGTCTGGCTTCTTCTGCTAGCCTCGCCTCTTCAGCCAAGCGAGCTTCTTCTGCAAGTCTAGCTTCTTCTGCAATTCTGGCTTCTTCTGCGAGTCTAGCTTCTTCGGCTTTTCGGGCTTCCTCGGCTTTACGGGCCTCTTCGGCAAGCCTAGCCTCTTCAGCCAATCGAGCCTCCTCAGCTTTTCGTGCTTCTTCCTCGGCTTTTCTAGCGTCTTCCTCAGCTTTGCGTTTAGCATCTTCAGCCTTGCGTGCCTCTTCTTCTATTCTTTTTTTATCAGCAGCTTCGCGATCAGCCTGAAAGTCATACATCAATATACTTATTGGAGTCTGGATATAGAATTTTAAAAATAATGACGATTGTTACGACATACTTGAGCCTTGCGTTCAGCTTCACGTTTGGCTTCTTCCTTTAGAGCTCTGTAACAAAAGATATGCTAGTCTTACACTACTAAATTATTTATTTATTACTTATTTATTAAAAATGGTCATACTTTTCTTCCGCAGCACGGGCTTGCTCTTGCCTCTTCCTCTTGATTTCTGCTAAATCTGCAGCTGAAGTCATAACCGGTTCGACAGTGACCGCACGGAATCTTGCTTCGCGGTCGGCCTTAGCTGCTTTCAGTTCAAGCTCCGGGTCCTCCATAATTTGCGGGGCCTGGAACTTGCGGCTCGGCCTCCATGGGAGCAGTTTGACTGCACCGAGGCCAATGTTACGCGGTCTCCGTGAACAATGACTAATGGTGAAATAATCAGCTCCCTTTTATTGGCGATTTCTGATCATTTCACAGTGTGATAATAACTATCAAAGGTCATCGTAAACGAAGTGATGACGGTCAATAAGCGACGCAGCACAATGATCATGATGCTGCCTATTCGAAGCTGTTAGACCCCAGCACCAAGCTCGATGACAAGCCGTAATGGCATGGATTTGCTATGATATCGTATATTCATTTCAGTGCTGCTTCATGCTATAATGCGAATGGTAGTGCAGTTGTCTTGTGTCCCTTCTACATTGTAGTTATACAAACTCAACCAAATATAAACGTGTTCCAACAAGTCAGTGGTAGTACCTACTAAATACTACTTTTTGTTCAGTGCTCATACCCTAAATAATCCGCTAGTTCTTAAAGGGAGATTGTTTTATATTTAAATATTAATCTATATATTTATTATGTATATTAATTGAGCTGTTAAAAGTTTTAGTTAAGAAGCGAAGCGTTATCAGAAGCTCGGATTTAGAAGCATGACATCGGGAATAACGAACGTGCAAACGATTAAAACAACTACAATTCCAGTAAAAATTCTTTATTGTTAAGTAAAATCAGTCGAGTTAAGTGAAAACGGGACGTCTCGGTCACCGACAAAATTTCGGCGCAAACACCGCGCTATCACAACGATGACTAAGGTAATAGAAATAAGTATGTTCCGTTCATCGAAACTCACGAACACAGTAACAAAAATATAATCTGTAAGATGAATAAAAAAATATATGATCTTGGTTAGTTCTAGCGTGTTATACCGAGATCAGAGAGCGCGAAGGGCGAGCGCGGCGCGGGCGCGACGTCGCCGCGGTTCGACCGCGCCCGCGCCGCGCCGCGAGGAGCTACGCGCACTGCGCCGCCGTCGGCTGTTCCGGCGCGCCGCCCGCTGCAAGAGACACCACACGCAGGGTTAGACACGGACTTTATATCTCGGTTTAATGCTCATTTAAGGCCCCACCGCGTCGAGGCGCACCTTATCACTTTTAGACCGGTTTATAGACTTATTTAAAGAATTAAGCGAGGGTATTTAAGCGAGCGCTAGCTTTGCGACTGTGACGTGGTACCTGCGGCCTTCTCGACGGCCAGGCCGGCGGCTGCGAGCCTGTTCTTGGCATAGAAAGAGAGTAGATTCACGTCGTCCCTGATGCTAAGTTCCTTGTAGAGAGGCCTACGGTTGGAGAAGGCCTTGTTACCGGAGTAGTGCACGCACGCGAGGTTTCCACGTCCTGGTGAGAACACCTCATTGTTACCACAGGGGCACACTGGAATTTTAACTGTTAGTCGGTTCTCAAACGGCCGGAACAGATAGCGGAAAGTGCACATCAGAAGTTTTTAAGTCGTTAAGTTAGTTAATAGTGGGAGGAATTTTCTACTTTTATAAAGCGTACCTGAAGTGTATCGTGGAACTGCAATGGTATCATTCTTACCGGTGAATTTCTTGGCAGGCTCGTTGTAGAAAGAAATGTTATGGATATTATCATAGACGTTGCGAAGTGGGACCAGTAATTTAGCCAAGTAAGCGTCATTGCTGAATCGGTATGGCACAGGCTCCCCGTATGAATATCTGCAGACATCATAGTTAGAAATTATTGTCATGATATACCCAAAATAGAGTAACTGCTGCCATTTACGACTTGGCCAACATCATGCGGATGTTAAAGATCCAAATTAAAATAAATATCCAATCCAATGATTTAATGAGACGGAAGATAGCAAACGTTGGCTGACATTTAATGAGGCTATAATTAAAACGATGCTTCAGTCATGTGGAACGTCCTATCTAAGAATGTGCTAAACAGTCACATAGAATTTGCCAGCGAAGTTTTTACTACTAATAACAGGAACAATATAAGGTTCCATTGACAGGTAATTTTATTTAACTTTGGCAGACGATCGAGTAATTTATTACGTACGCCACAACAACTACATGTTTGCCAAATGACAAGCTGCTTACTGTCTATTCTGCTGTCAATGTCACTGTCAGGGCGGTCGTTTGATATACGCATCAATGGGTCGTTTATTTTTGTACCGTCCTACTAGGCCAAGAACATATTGACCTAGAGTCTGAACTGATGAAGCCACCGCAAGGTCTTTTAGACGTTCTTGAAGCCAAGGATAAAAGTCAAATTATTTACTAAGCCACTTCCAAGAGCAGAAACAACATACATGCTTAGATTATTTATATGACATATTAATATCTAAGGTTCAATCAATCAAATACCTTTTATCCTAAACATTTTAGATGGATTTCTGAATTACTGTAATGTTTTACAGAATGTCTCTTACATCTTCCATTGCTTTCTATACCTAGCAACTCTCCCTAGCAATCTAAGGTTACTTGTGTACCAAATATGCCACTTTTGAATTCACTTGCTCTTTATTAGAAACATGAGATATATTAAAACGTTATTACTTACGAGTATATGGTTTCAAGGGGTGCTACGGACTTAGCACGAGGGACTACAGAGCGTGCGCGAGTAAGGAGGGCAGCAGTGTCAGCGCGGATGCGGCTTCTTTCATCTTCGAAGGCCTGAAATAATTGATATTAATTTTAGAAGACCTCTTAGTAACCTTAAGAGATAAATGATCGAGTAAAGTTTTTGTTAGATTTGCTTGCTACGTAATCGAGTGCTCTCAATAACATTTTACCAAGCTATTACATTATTCAGCTAAACACAATGGATAGCTAAATTAAACCTTACATTTCAAGGCTTTGTGTAAACGTTGCGGTCCACCTATCAACGACTAATTTTACAGGCACTACGTCTTATGTACGTCTCGATTTTATACTATTTAGGTCTTGATCTATTGGGTACCTATAGGCCTCAGGCGACTACACGTCGCTTTTCAGTCCCTGGTATGGGAAAATCAAACGAATCAAGAGATTTACCTTCGTAGACTCAGAACGATAGAAGTCGTCTACAGCTGAGATGGAAAAATCGGGGCGGCGGCGGTACGCGATGCGGTCCAATTCACGAAGGACTACTGATGGTCGCACGCGTACTCGCAGGATGTGGTGGGGCGCCTCAGGGTAAGTAACGAGTCGAGTAACAGTGCGAGAAGTCGGTCTGTATATCAGTTCAGCCTGAAATATTTTACACATTGCTTTGGTTAAGGTCGACTGAAATAAATGTTTTATGTATCAGCAGTAAAGTACATTATTACGTGCTTAATGTCTGCATTTACTAGTGAACAAATAACTCTAATTTTAAAAGCTCACAGCCAAGCAAGGGTGCCAAAAAGTACATAATGTGACTTATGAGCATTACTCAATTCCTTAATTTAACCAATCTTTTAAAATGCTGTATATTTGTAAGCAATTTACATTTTGGTCTGTGAACTAGTAACACATATTTACAGCCATGGTACGGACTTGGGTGGACAAACAGACGGTTAGATCTGCAGTGCTATTCTCTGAGCAAAAAGCCTTGCGTACAGCGCTGCCACAGCGTCGAACTTTAAACCAACTTAGTTTAATTAGTTAAATTCGACGCTGTGACAGCGCTGTAGCGTCGAATTTTAAACAAAGTTAGTTAAACTGCTGTTAGACTATCGTTTCGTCTACAGAGAAGACGAAAACGAAACTTATAATTGGCAATTATTGTTTAGTTACGAAGAGCTACGGAATAGACCAAGTCTGTAGGCCAGCCTGTACCACATTCAATGGAATCTGTAAGTAGCTTAACAGCCAAGCATTAAAGCTAATTTTATGGGACATAATATTTTTTTATTTTACGATAGAACCATGACAAAAATAATGATTTTGCATTCAAAACTAGTGAGGATACTTTTTACAGACAACGTGTTATAAGCAACAAGAAGATGCGAGAAGCGTAGGTGATGTTTTCAAACGGTTTAGTCATCTGCAACAGTGGAATTCGAAAAGAAAACAGTCAAGCAATTTAACGAATTTATTCGTATTTTTAAACATGAACTTATATAAATTCGGACTGAGAAGCTGACGACAAATAAATATATGTGTGTGTATTTTATTTACATACAAATGATGTTTTCAACTTTTAGATGGTTGATGTAACAGGATATGAGTGCGCTGTATTGACGTAAATCTTTACATGAAATTGTGCGCAAAACATGGAATTTAACACAGTTGTATTTGTTTATAATGCAGTAAATCATAGAGTTATTTCAGTATTGGACCTTACTGTACGTCTCAATGGCGAGATGAATCATCCGCGCGCTGTTGTAAAATTAGATTATTTTGCCGCGCACACGCTGTACTGCGATACTGTACTAGCAATGATTGCATCGTTATTATTATACTAGCATTTCCCCGCGTTTATCGTCACTCTCCGGCTACTTAGAGTGGTAATATTTAGCCTATAATCTTCCTTAATTATTGAGCTATTAAATGAAAAAAAGATTTGGATTAATCAGACCAGTAGTTGTGGATATAACCGCTTTATTTAAAAATAAAGAAAAAGTTTATTTTTATGGTATGGAATTAAACATACCTTTATTTATTCGTCTTTAGTGAGTTACTTTGGTAACCACAAACTTGATCAAACGCGAACCTGGTACCGTGTCTTGAATCGTAAAGTAAAATCGTTCAATAATACCTAGTTCAAACATGATATTTTCTAGTTGTAAAGGAGTTGTGCACTTTTTGTGTTTTTTATTCTGAGTAAAATCCATTATAACTGAAATTACACTGCTATATGCGCTAAAATTAGAAATTAGTTAGATTTTTTTTTAAATCCTGCATTTCAGAGTAAAACCAATAGTTATTTTAAGTTGGTAGATATTTTGATTGGAGGATTTCAACACGTTTCACAAATTAATTTTTAGTTTGCATGTTTTCCCAGAGCTTTTGTGTGAACAATTGTTTTATTGCCAAGTTTCTATCAACAAGAAAGTGTCCATCAGTCTAAAAATTTAAGAAGCTCTCAAATTACAGTTGCTACATCTATCTTTATCAGCGTCTATCCATTGTTCTGGCTTGGAAACAGTCCATTGCGTCGTTGGTGCTGTTTCATTTACCCAGCTTATTAGGAAACAAGAGTTGGATGGCTAGAACAAATATTATGTTACGTTTCTTGTAATAATATGGACGTTATAAAGTATTTTTGGCGTCGGTGCTGTTGCCAAAATTCTACTGGCTTGATCCAAGTTCGGCTTTTGTTTCCACACTGATGTAATGTTACATCCGGTCGTTTAAAAAATAAATATTAGTAATCTGTCTATTTTCATGCAAGGTCTTTACTGTTTGAAGTCGAATTGTATTTTTTTAACTAAACATCTAGTTAATTGAATAAACAATTCTGAAGTGTTGAAAGTTTAAGGTAATATTTTCTGAGGCTGATAATTTATAGTCTGTTTTTTAAATATTTATGCTTTTGAATCATGACTTTTTTATGATTTGATTTTCGAAGCAGCTTGACACATAAAAAGCCAGATATTTGTTCCAGAAAGAAAAATTGTAGGTACCTACCTAAAAATTGTATGTATTGCAGAGATGTTTTAGGCGCCTACCGGCATTAGATTGAGGCATATAATAGACTTAAAATAGCGAAGAATTGTTTTGTTGTTATCATATCGGGTGGTTTATGTTATTTACGGGTTCGTATTCTGACCTGTTACACATAAGTATAACAGCCAGTCCTCAAAAAAAGTTTTTTTATTATACTCTGTCTTTTAGTTCTTGATTTTGAGAAATATCCAGTCAGAGATTACCAAACATATTGCCGATTCGAACAAAAAGAACAGATGATTTCATTTAAAAAACAGTCAAATTAATTTTAGGTAAAAATACATGTTCATGTTTCTTTTTATGCATAAGAATTAATTATAGATTTACAAAGGACTAAGGACTCATTTCTAAGGAGAGGCCTATGTCCAGCAGTGGACTAGTATAGGCTGTTGATGTGAAAGGACTGTAAAAGTAACTCGTGTTTATCATCTTTCATTTGTAGATAAATCTGGGTTTCCCATTGAATCACATTCTGGCAAGCAAACCAAGTTTACAAGATTATGTCATTTAAATCAAGATTTGGAAGTATTTACATCGTTATTAAATTACCGTTACCCCTCACACAAACTAATTTCTATGTGTCGAGTGAGCGTGTATGTTTAATTAACTACATGTTATGGACAATAAACCTTTTCTAGTAGATGTTCTAGATCACATTTATCACGATTAAGTTTGGCCTTAAATTCTCCGCATAGCGTTTTATTGCGACGAAAAACGTTTTTAGTATAGCAAGGCGACTATGGCCGATTGCCAGTTCTGTTGCCCACAGTACTGCAGGTAATTAGTGATAAAACGGATTACAGATTATGAGTTTGAGAGTATATAAATAGGTGGGTACAATTTTCGGATTAAATAATAAAATTCTGTTGTTCAGAAAGCGTTGCCAACACATAAATATTCTTGACGGTGATCAGACAAAGCTATGTATATAATTACTCCACTTTACATACCGCGGCAAGTAGGTACTAGGGATGGAATAAAATCACAATCACCTGTGAAAAAACATATGATTTATGATATATAATAATTACCAAAACCACTGCGACTTATTATTATTATAATTACGCTAGCACTTTGTCTAGGATCAAATGATAATCACAGGTGAAATCGCAGTGACTGAAACCATTTATTCACCATATGATTTCGATTTAAAAGTAGCAAAAATATCCATTGTCCTTCATTATTTCATTTCATATTTAAATTTTGGCTTAATTATTTTTCATTAAGTAAGTGATTCCAATATCTAAGAGGTACGTAGGTATATTAACCTCCGCATTAACGTTGTTATGCATTTAAAGGGCGGCAACTCACTCGAGTCACTTAAGTTGCAAATGTTTATGTTGCGGCGGTAGTCACTTACCGTCAGGTTAGTCAACCCATCTCGTTTTCCCCCCTATATCATTAAAAAATGCTTCTGACTGTTTTTAAATTTGATAAATACACATACACATAAAATGTAGTAGCTTTGAATTTATAATAAGACTATTCTATGAGCCAATAGTTTTCTTTTGGCCTTTATAAATAAAATTCAAGGGCATTCTATTGGTTCATTGATCCCTCTCCAAAAGAAAATTCACTCTACGTTGATTCGACTGTTCTAAGAATGTTCATCGAGATTGTTATGCCAAGTCTAATCAAAACGTTGGCTTCAATCGAACTATTCATTTGCACAGATGTGTTATGAGTATTTAGTTATGAATAATATTTAATAATCAAAATAGCATTGGGTGCCGTTCTATGTAGTATTTAGATAGGTAGTAAATAGAAAGGACAGTCAGAGTCAAAATAAGTCTCATGATCACACTGACCTTAGATTTCAAACTACCCACTGGTGCAATAAAAATTTTAATGACCATAGACTAACATTGAATACTGAAACTATATATTTATATATTAATCTACTAATTTATTTAAGTCTTTCGTTGATGATTTACGCTGCTCATAAAGACTGATTTGGAATATGTAGAATGATCGACTAATATTTGATATTATTAACTTCTTGCGTCCTTGAAATTTTCTTATTTTAAAACTTAATGTAGCTATTTTATGGTATAGTGTGCAAACGAGCATATGGGTCACTAGGAATGGAATAAATCATATAACCACACCTGTGACTAATGTACAAAACCACTGCGATTTATTATTATTATTAAATAGGCTAGCGCCGACTCTACCAAAAAAGGAAGTATTTTTTTTAAATTAATTTTTGATAGCATTTAAGTATATCTTTATCTATGGCCAAATCACAATCGCAGTTGAAATCGCAGTGACTAATACAAAATATTTTCATATGTGTTTGATTTAAAAGTAGCAATAATTTCGACATCTACGGGTCACCTGATAGTAAATCACTACCGCCACCCATGGACAACTACAACTCAAGAGACAAGATGCGCTGCCGTGATGCTGCCGCAGAATTAGGGAGGAACTGGGCCTCCGGAAATCTAATTTACTCGGTGAAAAGCAAGGAAAACATTGCCTAACACCGGTTTTCTGTGAGGCTGTGGTACCTATCCCAGCTGGAATGCAATGCGCCGAAATTTGCTAAAGAACTACAATATATCTATTATAAGGTTTTATGGAATAATAGCTATATACAGTTTCAAGAAACTTTGAAGTCTAAACTAACCTATACATGCATCTAATAATAGATTATTTCTGAGTATCAACATTTATCAGCTCACAGTCGTGCCGGGTGGGAATATCTGATAATATTATTGACACCATTATGCTATTTCTTGAGATTTCTGAAGAATTCTCTTAAAAAACGACTTCTGACTAATGCAATATATATTTTAAAACCACTAAAATACCAAATGTTCGTAGGTGTGAACCCTTTAATTTAAATGAGTTGGCAAACATGAGGATTGAGGACGCACAACAATGCTCTAATATTTTAGTTTACGACTTGTAGAACGTTTGAATTAGGTCGAGGTGAACTAAAAAAGTTTTGATTGAATGTACGAAAAGCTTAGAAGTAATCATGACAAGCCTGTTTATTTTGAATAACATAACGCAGTCCCCGACGAACACTATGGTAATCGCTATTACGATAGAATCGGGTTTATTAGATATTCGTTATCTACACACCCTATTACAATCATTGAATTTTTTTTATGATCGGGCGATGAATACTTTTGGATTTATCCATTCAATAATGATCTTTATGTTTTTGTTCAACGTATAACATAAGTGAAAAATTTACACGATCAATAACGCAAAAACCTTTTACCAAATCTCAAAAGTCAACATTTTAGAGTAAGCGGCTATTACCATATTGTTCGAGGGAAAAATGACAGAATCAGAATCAGAATTTATACATAGGTACCGAAATGGTTATAACACCTAAAAATGATCATCGAATAAGCATGTAATTTATGTTTACCGTAATATTAAAGTCAGTTATATCATCGAATACGATTGCAATGTCATTTTACGAATATAAAGTATATTCATATTTACCATGGAACAATATCATAATGAACGATTACTACAGCAACACCGATTTGTGATTACAGTCGAACACTATCGTAAAGTTAGTTTGCGTTAATTTTTTCCATAGCTTATTTCAGTAATGGACATTTTCACAATTTTCTTACTGATAAAGAAAATTTATGATAAAAATTTAGTAAAAATCTAGTGCAAAAAAATATTTCCTTATTTTTGATAAAAGAATCTTCTTTTTAGTCTTGATAGTATTCAAGATATTCAGTTTTTATTTGCTCCTGTAAAATTGTTATTTTCCTATTACGATTTTGTTCGTCGGGGACTGCGATAAGTACTAGTTGTTTAGGACGTCATTCGTGTTTTTGTTATTCTCTCTAACTAAGAAAATAAAATATATTTTTATCATTTAAGTGTTCGGTCTATTTTGATAAGTTTTGTTTTGTGCTTCTACTGAGGCTTACAACAGGCAACTGATTCATAAGAAGCCTCTAGAAACACATTTTTTTTTGATAATTAAATCCAATACAACAAAGTGAACCACAGATTATGAAACTTCACAGCTTTATAGCATCTTTGGAGTGAGAGTTTTGTAAATGTTATTTTACTGGATGATGAGACGAAATCAATAACATGGCATTAACTTGGTTTTATGAATAGGTGAGGTAGGCACGTTTTCCAGCAATTCAGTATCCTAGGTTACTTGCGGTGGTTACGAACTGCCATCAGTTATGTGCCCCACTACTACAAATTTCAAATAAAATTCATATTGCATTAAATAACCGAAGAAGACAGTGGAGGTACCTTCAATCATGTTTAGAGCATACGTTTTCCTTTTAGAGTTTTTATGCTACTGCAGAATACAATATATTTCATCGTGGACACAGATCACTTATGTGTCTTCTGCAACTAATAACAAGATAGCCCTGAACCATCAAATTATAGGTTTATTACTAGTGAGGTTTTCTATCGAACTTGCCATCTAACTTTCAAGACGTTTTGCTGAATTTTTGTAGAACAGAAATATTAAGACCGAGTGAAATAGCTATTATTTCTCTTTGAAACGAGAGTTTCAAATCCTTTGGGCTGCTAATCGCACCTTTTAAATCGGAGTGCTCAACAAAGTGTAGCAGTATTTTATTACTTCGATTTCACATGAAACTGATGTCACGGACGTGGTTTCAATATTGAACAATCATAAAAGTAATTTTGCCTAACTATCAGTGTTTAATTATCTGTTGTTTTCACCATGCTCACTATTTCACTCCTAAAATTTTTGAATAAAGCTCGATCTGTTGAGTAATCATCGGTAAAAGAAACCCACTTTACAAGATTATGAAACAAGTCCTAAGTTCATACAAGAAATTGGACTTAGGTTCGACTATCGATCAGCTATCTGTGAGTAGAATAACTAAAACTTTAGTTTATTAATGTCGAATGATTAAGTGTTCATAAGTATGTTGAGTTCTACTATAACAGTAGACTTTACAGCCTAATATGTGTTGATGACCATATTATTTCACTACTAACGAGCATTAACTTACGTACTCATTAAAGTGACACATAAAATGTGATTATTATACTATAAAAATATATTTTGGATAGTGACTCTATGATTATTGTTTCAATGTAAGAAGGTGAACTAAAGTTGCATGAATATTTACAAGAACATATTTCAATTACATGTAAGTAGATTAATACTACAGATACTTATTTAAATTTTAGGAGTTGTTTATGAAAGTTTAATATCATAAAGTTATTTACATCTTCTTTTATAGGAATGAAAACAAAATGTTTATTTAGCAGTGCCTGCGTGATAATCATGGAGTGCAGAATGCTTGGCGGTGTTGCAGCGGTGTATACCCGGCAGCCAAAAATGCACTACTTACTCGATGCTTTCCACAATATTCTCCAACTTACCTGAGAGAGCTTGGGTATATACGTTATATACGGCACATGATAGTAGGGCTGTAGTGACGACAGGTAGTACAGTGAAGACAACGGCTGGCATGGACAATGGAAGAGGCACTAGTTAAACTTATCCACTTATAAATTGTTTTTTTCGTATCTTTGGGCCACTAACTTATCATTGCAGGACATCAGTAGTCGATAGAATATACCTATCCCCTCTAACTCAGTTTCTCGCTTGTTAGTGTTGGCAAAAGTTTGTTTTTCTTCTTCGTATAATAGCGAGCACTCTGTCTATTTATAAAGTGTTTATTGAGTGTAAGTAAACCATTTTGTCTTAATGATTGAGATCTGTCTTGTATCAGAATAAAATTGAGAATTATATCTATGATGTTTGGTTCTATCGGTTAGTACATAGATAGTTGAGTACGACAAGTTTTGTTATTTTTCAGTTGCTGTGACAAGCGTAATATCTTTTAATAACTCAGTTACTGTTGTTATAACTAGTTCTTACAGTTTTTTAATGATTACTCACTGTTTGGAAGAAAAATATAATAGACTTTTTAAAGAAAACCAACATAGAATAAGGTAAGACGAATGAGAAATAGACATAGTTAGTAGGAGATAAACAAAGTCGAGCTCATCATCGACTTGTGTCTCAGGTTGTTGTGTAAACACGACACAAAGAAAAAAGATCTATTACAAAACGCAAGCTTTATTAAAAATTCAGTCTAAATCACATCGAATTTATTAGATAAATAATTTTCAATAACATTAAAAAGCGCCATAAAGATCGATTGCCACTTGTGAACAAATAAAGTGGAAAGATCTCTCAGTTACTGCCAATACTGATTAGGTAGTTGCATGGATTTGGGTAGCGAAAGGAAGTTAGGAGCGGGCCGGGGCGGGAGCCGGGGCGCTACACGCGGTACGAATAGGAACGGTAGGTGGTGCCGTAGGGCAGGCGGCCGGACGACGTCGAGGAGTACGAGTAGCCGCCGGGGCCGCCCAGGCTGCTGGAGCGCTCGCTGCTGTAGGAATAGCCGCCGGGGCCGCTGCCGGTGCGGCGCTCCACCGTGCTGTTGTAAGAACTGCGGTGTGGCAACCTGTTACCGTCGCGCGAGGTCTCAGTTGTGCTGTTGTACGAGTAAGAGTACTGCTGCTCGGCGCGCCTCGGCAGGGGGTCGCGGTCCACCACCACGTAGTGACGCGGCGTCTGCAACAACCCTGCCCTATAGACACCACCGCTGTACTAACGCACCCCCTCGCACCGTCCCGACCACCTAGCGACTAGCGAAAGCGACACACGACAATGAATGACTACGTCCCCGTCAGTAGGTGGCGTAGTTGCTGTAATAGACGTGCCGGTGAGGGCTGCGCTCGGGCCTGCCGTGCGACTGTGCCAATACAAGGTCCATGTGGTCGCGAGGCGTACCCAGCGGGTCCGCCTCGTAGGCTCGCTCGCGATGTCCAACCGCCGCAAGCACGCGAGCGCGCGTCTGGTCGCGCGGGGACACGTAGGGAGCGAGCGGTGCCAACTTGTACTCCGGCTTGGGCGCGATGTTCTGGCTCGTCACCGGATCGAGGATGGAGGGCCGAGCGCCAGGCCTGGATCGTCTGCCGAATGCTGTCACCGGATCCGGCACTAGACTCGGCCGCGGCACGTACGGGACCTTCTCCCAGTCGCCGGCGGATCGTCGCTGCAAGCGGAGAAGTCGCCGTTAGTCGGACGGGCGCGACTCCAGCTGCGGCTATATTTGGCGCGCCGCGTAGCTCCGCTATCCGACTCCGTTTCTCGATACGAAATGACCCACTTGCGGAATACTCTACCACTAATACTATCTGCGCCATCGAGCCCTAAAACCGCAGTGGTGAGACACGGTGGCGACGAACTTATCGTAAGCAATAATGTTTACAAGCAGACTATGATGGGAATAAGTTATCACTTAGGAAGACATTTATCATTAGATTTATGGGACTCATTCACTGAACAACATTATCTACTACGTACTCATCGATTGTGTGAGTCGTCAAGAACTGTAGGGAAACGCGAGAGACAGGGGTCGAGCTGGTGCGAGGGGCCGGCTCCCGGGAGAGAGTGGAGCGAGGTGCGATGCACGCTCAGTATAGTAGATGTTAGAAGGGTGGCGGCGGCGGCACTTACCGTCACTGTGCTATAGCTGGTGCTGGGCCTGTAGGGGCGGCGGGTTGTATAGAAGTCACTTTCGTACACCATGGCTGCTGATTTTATAATTCGTTCGACTGTAACTCGCGACGGTTGGTCTTCGACTGAAGAGAGCGCGTGAACACCGGCGCGACGCTGTCGACCTTATTTTTAGATCACTGTCATTGCAATTTTCACGCCATTCCCGAACCTCGCACGGATTTTACATGAAAGTTTAGAGTGGTTGTTGTGTTACTTTCGTGATGTCAGTTATGTAGGATAAGGATAAACGAAATGTGTGGAATGCTGAGGTTACAGGCAGAGGTTAATTTAATTCAAATGTGGAGTATTGCGTTCAAAATGTATCTTGTCATAAAATTGTGAAACCGGCCGAGGACATTGAAGGAAAATCTCTTAAATGTTGTTTTGTTTATTTCTTTACGTAGGATGTTTTGAATCATAATGTTATTTTGTATCGCAAAGGCGATTTTTAATTATGTTTCTTGGCAGTGTCGTGATCATACATCATCACACCAAAATAAATCGTATCTGATTATTTCATGGCGTGTTCGAGAACAATAATCAAAAGTACCTTTATCTACTTATGCGGTTTTGCGGATTCAGTGCCTGTTCTTTGTACATTTTTTATATTTAAGAAATTGTAAGGTTAGATATCGATTAATGTATCATACAAAAAAGGGTTAAATGGCATAGTATCCCAACAAAATCTTTCGTCGTAAGTAAATACTTAATACATAGTTGTGTTTAAAAACACATACTGTTTTTAAAAAGTTTTTTCAATACTTTTACTTTATTTTTTTCAGTTTCTTGCTTGCTCCTATCCTATGGAGATCAAATTTTGTATTTTGGTTCAGTTCCAATGACAATATATCTTTCTGATATGCATGACCTAAAACTGAGCCCAGGTTTGGCTCCAGACTAAGGAAGTCCTCAACATTCAACATACCTACTTAAAATACGCTTTGAATTATGAGGTCCAAAGTTCGTAATGACCTTCCTGCTGTGCCTAAGACTGGCCCCGATGAGGCGACTTCACTTTTTTTGTTTCTAGCCGTTACTATGAGGTGTATACGCACGCTTGTTTTGCGAGTGATACTGTGTTTGTATGGATGATATTAAAATATTTATATAAATATACTAGCGATCCGCCCCGGCTTTACACAGAAGCAATGTAGATACTACTAATATGGTGTCATTGTGGAGTAATTATTATAATAGGGCAGGACATCTTTAAATGCAATATTTATAGGCCCGTTCCGATCCTGCCGGCCGCTGCCACCCGGTACGGCTCGACGGTCGTTGAGCCCTGCATTGTAAATCTCTAATATCTTCTAAAATATTGATTTCAATGATATGCTGGCGAAAAGCAATTTTAATCTACATTAAATGCACAACGTATTTAATTGGATAAGGAATAATAATGTTTTGTTTAAAATAGCCTTGTAAATAACTCGTATTATTTTTGTAATATTTATAAGATAAAAATGGTTACCGTGGGTTATCCTTAGGAGATAGACATATACTATTACGGGCTTTTTGTAGATCTTTTTAAGATATGCAATTACGTAGTATATTATTTTGGTTTATCTCTTAAGGTTTAGCCAGCGTTTGCAATGTAGGCGCATAAAAACATGTTTTTTACGACATCTTTGAAATTCTTGTATTTTCTAAACTATATTTTAGTTTAAATGTATTTACGAGTGCCTCCTACTATGGGGCTAAATCAGATTTGTGCAGAGACACCTGACGGCACGCCTGAACGAGCGTTTCGTTTGCGACGGCGACACCATCCAAGATAAGGCACCGCGTAGCACCCAATGGTAGCCGATGTTTTATAGAAGCGGCCCTAACACCGACCCCTGCGGATTACCGCACGACATTTCATGCCGACCAGGACCGAGTCCTACTTGGATAGACGACGGCTCCAAATCCCTCTTACTTCCCGCCCTTCAAAAGCACCGGCACCACTTTTGGGGAAAACTCTCATTTAAAAAATGTCAGCTCCTCACGGTACGGTATGGAAAAGGTCCATGGCCACTCGACCATGACCGGCTGGAGTGCCTCCACGGCGCCATAAAGCTAGTACTTGGAGCGTCCAGCCGAGATGACCAACGAGTCATTGTGGTTCGGCGAGCGGCCTTCCTCACTCATTTACCCCACATTTACTCTAGATACCATGGGAGAGTTCCACCACCGATCTCTGCGGGTGCGGAGGACTTCCGCCCACCCCGGTGCACCATATAGTGCCATTGTCTGTACAACCCTGGTCTAACACTATAACTCAAATAGTAATCTTAACAGTTGTAGCAACTGTTGTAGCCTCAATTCCTAGGTATCAAAAAAAGGAAAGCATAGAAGTTGTGGCAATTACGTAATATAAAATCTAGATGTCAACCTTTAACATCTCTATAGAATTAAATAATTGTTAAACTGTGTAAGAATGTACATACGTACGTACATATGTGTCAGTAAGACACAGTTATTGTTTGGAATACCTACCTATATTTTTTCTTTGTTAAAATATTCTGCGCGCGCGTCTCTTTGTAACCTCGCGCCCCTAGGCATATGCCTACTTTGCCTTAGGGATAATCCGCCACTGCTACTAAGTATTTTATTTAAACAAATTTATTAATTAAATAAAAATATAAAGAATTAATCAAAACTATACTATACGGAACTATACTGGAAACACGCGGTTTCTCAATAACCAATCACAGCGCGCGGAGCTGGGCCCCCATCAGCTGCCGGCATGCCTCGATAAGCTATCTTACTCGCACCTATGGCTGCGCGTAAGACTTTTTTGTCGCACTCGTTTGTAAACTTTATTCCGTCGGGGAATTGTTTAAAACCACTAAATTTGTCTTGCGATTTGCAGGTATTATTGAAATTACTCAATAAATGCGTACTAATGTGACCAACGTATTGCACAAATCTCCTGTTACGTTATGCTTTTTAATAGCGTTTAATTTCCTACGAGCCTTGCGGTAGTTTCTACGTAGTTCGGCTAATTTATCATTCCACCAATCACATCTACGAGTGTTAGTGATAGATCCGCGACCAATAGACACATCAGCGCAGTATGTGAAAGTTTCTGATAGTATTTCGGCGCTAAAAACAAGATATAAGTATATATAATTCAGGCGTGTTTGAATTGGTATGTGGTTGATGGTTCGTTTTGGCAGGTCCCATCAATTAAAATTTTAATAGGCAGTTTCCCAAACTAAACTAAATCTGCTAAGTTCTGGCACTACTGCTGCTTCGTTTTTATTGCCATAATCAAAGACATCAGTCTATTGATATTAGGAAACCAAGGTCATGTTGCAAATTGTGTCCACTTGTGTACCTACAGAAAATCCTAATAGTGCACCTAGTAGTTTTCCAAATCCGGCCACCAGCAAAAACTTAATTATCATGGCAATCATATAGGGCACATATTTGGCACAATTTATAAGATACAATACAACATAGGGTTGTAACTATCTTGGTCCAAGAGCTAGCGACGAATTGTGAGGTCTTTTTGGCAAGTTGAAATTCTAAAAAAAAAAATTTCGTTAATTGTCGAATCCAGTCCCGTGAGTCTCGGTTAGCATTAGCGGTTTTCTAACCATGCCAGCCATGATAATTAAGTTTTTGCTGGTGGCTTCAAAGGGGCGCCACATTTACCAGGCCTGCCACCAGGCGCCACATTTTCAGGTGAAATCTTTGGCGGTATACTATGGGGATCTTATGTCAACTAGGGTGAATTTCCGTGCGTTTAGGCGATTCTGCCATACATATTATAGAAATCAAATATATCACTTAGGATAAATAATATTTTGTGGCCGTGGTGCTTCCCTGTATAAAAGGGTAAGGTTGGGTAGTTGTATACATGCTAATCGGCGAGAGAATTGTTAATACCGCAATACAGGATTAGTAGTTACTATACTCCCATGAGAGATGTTTCTCTTTGGCTCTACCCTGCAGCAAAGAATATATCTACTCTCTTACGAGACCCTGCAGTAATGACAATTCGTTTGTAACAACTAGCTGTCATAGATTTCAACTTCAGTACAGCCTAAACTGAAATAATTTTTGAAAGTTATTAAAATCTGGTAACTAAAAGTTTAAAATGTATTTGTCGATAATACTACCAATCTAATAAATACAACAATAATCCCTAGGTACAATGAGCAAAGCAAGGCGGTACTAAGTCCTATACCTGCCAGCCATTGTCCTTTATAATAATTTCATAAAAAAAATATTTTTTAAGTATGTATTTCTTCATTTTTATTTCAAGGTATATTTTATCTTTTAGTTGTGATGTTCTTAAATTCTACTACTGCTGTTTTAAAAATAAAAGCACTTAGACTACCCTGTCAAAGTAAAGCTGTAACTAAATGCCTAAATATATTATAATAGCCATAAAATATAACCTTGGCTTAATTGATACTTTTTCTTCAGGCGCTGGTCTAATGTCAATACAATAATCACCTTTATAATTAAATTACTACCTATTTTAAAAGTTTAATAACGATTCAAAGTACATAGTCCTACTACATCGTATTAAAATTTGGTGTGTTCAGTTGGAGATCACGCCATGTGTAACTAATAACGTAGGTAATTAACTAATTTCCCGCCGCCATTTTGATATCAAAATAGCAAGGCCACTCTCTTCGTAGAATATTTTAAAATAGTGTAGGAATTTTAATAAGTATGAAATATTGTATTAAATGCTATTCACATGATAGGTCTTCAAAAAACCTGACGTGGTATCGGCATCTTGACGTTCGCTTGTGTTGATAATAAGGTTCTAAAATCATAACGAGAACAAACACTGCTAGCTAACCGCATACGCCTCATAAAAATACTCCTTACTCTACACAATATAATTGTTTAAAAATAATCTAGGTGTACCCATTTTATATTTTAGTAACACCCTAACGATGAGAACATTTCATCGGTCTAGCTCAATGGTGTGCGTTACCCCAGCAAAATAATGTCGAAAATGGTCATTTAAACTTTATAGATAATTAGTTGCTCCCCTTCTGTAATTGTTAGGCACATTTTTAAATTTGTTTCACTTAAACTTTTTTAGTTATTTCAAAAAAACATTTCCTGCTGGGGTAACGTTTGAAACGTTACCGCAGCCAGACATTTTCTTTTTTAATTGTAATATTGAAATAAATTTTAGCTAGAGAATTAGTTATCTGGACTAGGTAAATGTTACAACTTATTTGGTATTTGTATTTTCTTCGGCTGCGAAGTTATTCGAAATCCTGCTGGAGTAACGTTTGTGGGTTTGCTGGATCTCTGAAACGGGTAAGCGGATTGTAACCATCTTTTGTACATAACTTCTTAAGGATTAGTTTTAATTTGTTCGACAATAAAATCACAAAAATAATGGACCGTTTAAAAATTATTTAGGTAAGTATGAAAACACTTCAATACGTCCTAACACTTTAAATAAGACCTCTAAAGACTTACTTCAAACGTTATTCTATTGCTTGTAACTACCTTCAAATGTATACGAATTTTCGTAAGAATACTGTTAGTGACTAAAAAGTTATGATGAAATGTAGCTCTCCACGTTCACGATCACAATGTGTGCGGCCTTTTTTGGCCACCGATAAACCTGTGTGTGGATATATAAACTGAATGTTATGCCAATAATTAGTTGTTTAGTTCAGTTGTCTACCTGTAAAATTTCAGCGTCGTACATATAATAATTTACGAGATAATTAAATAAAAGTCATTAGAAGGTGCAAGTCCGTGGTAACCCGACCATGTTTAGGTGGTTACAAAAAAGCGATCACCCAGTACATTGTGCTGGCTTTTAAAATATGTAGGATATTATTTGCAAGTTTACTACGGATATGTACATAAGTGTTACAAAAAACTACATGTTTTTTAAATAATTTTTATTTAGGATTGTTTATTGCATAATTAGTAATCAGCCGGGAGATTAGCTATTGTTTTGAATGCTTTTGTTTTCTCGTAATGTTTAGGTGAATTGTTTATAGTTGTTCATAGAATTGATACCTGCGTAGTATTTGTTAATTGAAGTTTAATTTTAGGGTAGGTATAGGTAATTTAAGTAATTTAATTAATCGAGTGAAAGTGATACAGTGAAGAGTGTGACGTATGCGTTGTAAATAGGTATTTTGTGAATAGATGGGGATTTTTTTAAGTGATGAATCGACTTAGGCTAGCATATCGCGAACAAACTCTGTATTGCAATATTTCTGTAATAATTTTGGAGAAAATAAAATATTTGATCACAAAATCGCGGTGAGTTAAATTATAATAAAATAAATTATTTATGTAAAATTAGTAATAAGTGATATACCTACCTACAAGTTATGATCGTTTTTAATTTGTTCACCCTGAACGAAATTTAAATATTAGCATTAGTAATTAATATCCTAAGACAAGAATTGACAATTATAATAATAAATTTTAAGTAAAGAAACACTAGTGCGTAAGATCAATTAGGGAAAAAAACAAAATAAATAATAGGTAATAATAATGAATAAATATTGAATGTATTTAACACTGTACGCAACTGTACCGAAATCGTAAGGTGTATTACACTAAACATTTTAAAAGACAGCGCAATGTACTGGGTGATCGCTTTATTGTAACCACCTAAACATGGTCGGATTACCACGGACTTGCACCTTCTAATGACTTTTATTTAATTATTTCGTAAATTATTATATGTACGACGCTGAAATTCTACAGGTAGACAACTGAACTAAACAACTAATTATTGGCATAACATTCAGTTTATATATCCACACACAGGTTTATCGGTGGCCAAAAAAGGCCGCATACATTTTGATCGTGAACGTGGAGAGCTACATTTCATCATAACTTTTTAGTCACTTACAGTATTCCTACGAAAATTCGTATACATTTGAAGGTAGTTACAAGCAATAGAATAACGTTTCAAGTAAGTCTTTAGAGGTCTTATTTAAAGTGTTAGGACGTATTGAAGTGTTTTCATACTTACCTAAATAATTTTTAAACGGTCCATTATTTTTGTTATTTTATTGTCGAACAAATTAAAACTAATCCTTAAGAAGTTATGTACAAAAGATGGTAACAATCCGCTTACCCGTTTCAGAGATCCAGCAAACCCACAAACGTTACTCCAGCAGGATTTCGAATAACTTCGCAGCCGAAGAAAATACAAATACCAAATAAGTTGTAACATTTACCTAGTCCAGATAACTAATTATTTAGCTAAAATTTATTTCAATATTACAATTAAAAAAGAAAATGTCTGGCTGCGGTAACGTTTCAAACGTTACCCCAGCAGGAAATGTTTTTTTGAAATAACTAAAAAAGTTTAAGTGAAACAAATTTAAAAATGTGCTTAACAATTACAGAAGGGGAGCAACTAATTATCTATAACGTTTAAATGACCATTTTCGACATTATTTTGCTGGGGTAACGCACACAGCTCAATGGCTCCCTACCTACCACTACTATGTTCTTACATGACTGGGGTACCTTGCCTCCTCCCTTGACATTTTAGTCATCCATCACTGGTGGTCTTTCTATAATTATGGACTTGATGATAACTGATATGGATAAATGAAAGAATTCCCGAATTCTTTTCTGGTAGGTAGGTAGCCTATGTTACTCGCTGATAGTTTTCCATTGGTGAAAGTTTTTTTTAAACCGGAACAAACAAACCTTTAACATTTATAATATAAATAGGTATGGATATATTACGAAAAACTAACAAATACCCACCAATAAGAACTGCAGGAAGTTTAACAACTATTTCAATATATTCAACGACAATATGTATTCTTAGAAATACTTTAAATAAACTCACGCATTAGTCTTCTTTAGTCGTGGCGTCTTTACGTGGAAATTACAGTTTTTTACGTTTCAAGATGGTTATCTAATTGATATGTTGCAAGTTATGAAGTTTAAAAGAAAACAGTCAGGTATTGCAAGTTTTGCCCTGTATAAAAGCGTGTTTCTAATTTTGTACAGTGCTTCATGGAATGAGCTTCCTGTCTGGATTTCTTGCCACGGAAGTGATATGTCTTCCATTTACATATGTTAAGGGTTCTTGTAAGAGTTCGACGCCATAATAATACAATAATCAAAAGTAATTGTAAACTTAAACTATTTATTTTTATCCTTTTACAAAATTTTACCTTTTCATTATGAATTTACAATATTCTTTTAATCATCACGTCATCCGAACGTATGCTGTACTCGATCACAAAACGGACCTCGCAGTCGACTCATATAAAAGTTTGGACCCAGAAATAAACATAATACAGTTGCTGTAATATATCTAGACGACAAATCAAACACCCTTGTCCCAGACCCACAGCTTTATTGACTCACCAGTGTTTCCATACAATAAATCATAACAATTCAGGTCAAACAAAACAACATGTGCCCAACTTAATATAAATAGGTCAAAACTGTCTGGCGCGTCGTGTGATTAGTCTCGGGAACATCGTCAGTCTGCCATCAATAAATATCAACGTATGTACACGAGCCCACTCGCGACAATACTCCCCCTATATATTTATAACTTTTCATTAAAAATTTATAATTTATTTCGTTAAGTCCTATCTATGTAGGTCGACTAACACCGTTGCGCCACGGTGTCTCGCGAACTAACTGGATGGCGCCGGCAACACTCGGCAATTTAGCGGGACAGCCGACGTGCGGCGGGGCCCAGGGCGGGCCCGGCAGGGCCTAAGGCGGGCCCGGCCCGGGCCTGGGGGTCGTTGGACCCCGCTCGCTCACCACTCGAACATCGGTCAACGGCATAGCTTCCAAAAATTTGTACACTGTTTGTCTGCCAACAGCGACCGTCGAGGTACGTCCGCTCGCACTCGACGTCGGGTCCGTCGATCGACAGTTCGAGCCGCAAACAACCGCGACGACAACATCGTCGGTGTGGAATCAGAATATATTATTGAGGTTTCTGCACATCACAGGCGTACACACCCCCGGACGGGTGTCGGATAGACTCGAAGAAACATAATTTGAACGAAGAAAACTAGCCACGAGGTAACGGCTTCACGATGAAGTTGAGGCTATGCGGATGGCTGGTCGGGGGCGCGGGGGCGCGGGGCGGGTGTTACTGCGACGGGTACTGCGCCGACGGCATCGGAGACGCGTACATCAGCGGCGCGGGGCCCCCGCCCCACCCCCCCGCACCGCCCGCGTTGCCTCCGCCCGGCATGCTCATGCGGTACCCCGCTGCAACATAACACATTCACATACATTTTACACAGTATACAGTCTTACAATATCATAAATTGTCACGGAACATGTAGAAATTCTTTTCTGAAATGTGAACAACCACGATGGCTGTAAGGAATTATCTCTATAAGCCTAGCTAAAATAAAATTCTTTAATTCCGAGTGGCGCGACTCAAGTCAAATAAATGTTTAATATGACGAACGATATTAATATTTTCGACATTATGTAGTAGCAGCCCATTACTACGAGTAGACTCCCCGTTGCCAAGCAACGCAAAAAACTATAAGCTATCGCACAAAAAACGAATGTTAAATTAAGCGAGTAGTAAGTTTGTAATGACGCGTCACGATAGTACTGAGGCCACAGGGCTCGTTAAAACATTGATAACGTTAGAATCACAGCGGGACTGATAACGTTTAGACAACGACAGTTACAGTTTTATATTTAGCTTCATTTGATTGCAGCTCTATGTAATTACAGGAACTATCGTATTATTTTTATTTCTATTTTTCAGTCTTTCCTTATTTGTACGCATGGCCAAAGAAACAAGTAGGAACTTCTGAGAAAAATCGTTGCGACCTTTTTATTGTTTGGTATTAGTAATTAACTTAAATACTTCAAAGATTTTTTTTTAATAAGTGTTTATCAATAAACATACCTGCTGCTGCAGCTTGCGGATTGCTATATGCGGCGGCGTATTGCTGGTAATAGCCTGGTGCCATATAACCTTGTAACGCCGGATAACCCTGGAAAAGAATCAGCATTCTTTATTATGTTACTTTCTTGTTACAGTTTTAAACAGGGTGCGTAATACTTATATTTTTTTGAACTAGTCAGTTCGCAAAGGCCGAATCTGAAGTAACAAGTAATAAATACAGTTTTTTAATCACCATGGTGGTAAAGTTGCGGACCGTTGTAGGTCTTCTACGACTACAAGCATGTCCATAATACTTTTTCAACAAGTCACTTACATGAAATTGACTTGCAAGCAAAACATATTGTAAAAAAACCTTAAATATTAAGGGTAACCGTCTAAAAAGACACTGTTGGTTAAGGTTACGAAATAGCTTTTTTCATTCATCGTCCGTTCAGAATGAGATGTGTTAACGATCGTCAGAGCGAGAGTTGCCATTAACTTGTTTATCAGATTTCATCAATGCTTTCAGTTAGCGAATCAGTCAGAAAATCTGCGATTTTGGTTAAAAACCTGTTAAGCCAAGGCTGACTCATGAGTTTCGCACAAGTTTGCGAATCGAGCGTCCGAAAGTAGTTTATTTTCACCCGTTCTCTGTTAACTTTTCCCTTTTAAAAATAGTAGTTTGTAATCGAAAAAAAATTGGTATTGTGATATTTATAAAATCCTGGTATTAACATTTCTGTAATTAAATTGCGCTTTTTGCAAAATTTCATGATTTTATGTCGATGATGAAATTTCTATAAGTTGTGGTTTACCTGCGAACTCATTTAATTGGACTAACTTGAGCTTTTAAAATTGTATACGCAGTTTCCATACTCTGATTCCTTGTGCATGATGTTTCTTGTTTCCAGGTCATGACAATCACCTTTACACGCTTTTATTGAACTCGTTGCCACTATCGTCCAATACGATATTCTGCTGTTGTTTTTTGCCATCCTCCACATGGGCAATTTGCGGTTATGCGAAATCCAAATTTAGCTGCCAATTTGGTTAACAGTGAAATAGCAGAATCGAAATAAACTTTTGACCATTTCGGATTAACTTCCTTAAAGTAAAGGCATTCGGAGGGCAGATTTTTGTTGTCACATATATCTATTTTAACGAAAATCGGCTTAAACTAATGACATCTACACGCAAGTACGAATCATTGTCCGCTGATCAATACGCCATCTCTGTCTCAGGATAAGAACTTTTTACCTTTCCGTAGATACTTAGTTTTTATGTAGAAAATATTTTTTTCAACATGATAATTAATATCGCAAATTTAAATATAAATGAAAAATGCAACAAACTGGGAATGTATAACCTGATTTGAATTACAATCGAATCTTGACCTGCAGACCGGCTTATTAAATTTTAAATTTTGATAACAGCCCCAATTTTTTTTATGTATTTTTATAAATAAAACATCAATATGAAGTTGATCGTTTCAGTGTAGTGGCAAAACTCCCCAGCCAGTTACACAGTCTTTTGATTCAGTTATTACACAAACAATTAATAATACATTGTTTTCCGTTTTAAATTTAGATCAGGGATAAGGGGCTATTAATAGTAATGATTTACAATAGGTCATGTAGGCGCGCTCGAGCAGTCATAGTTAAGCGATGATGCGTCAGATTTAAGTAAGCCTTTACAGTGAAACACGTAGCTGTATACAAGAATCCTAAGCAGTGGACACAATAGAATGAAGTCATGCATCATTCAGAGGTTGACAAACGAATCTTAAATACATGATTATTGAATTTATTTTGCAAATACATTTTTTAGACACATCGTTTAGTGCTGGTAAAACTAGATGATGGCCCGGCATTTGCTTCAGAAGAAAGTCTGAAATGAACTCAAGAACCCCTTCAGATACATCGACAATTATGAAATTCAACCACTTCTTAGAGAGCTCCCGACCCCAACTAGTCCACCAGCGCATTTAAACATTGGATTGGCAATGTAAACACTCAAAACTGGCAGACTGGCATGAATCTTACGCTAAAAAAATACTTTACCGAATGACGTAGACGGTAACAAAAAGCATGTTACAGATTAAAAACAAGTAAAGAATACTGTGCTACATGTTAAAAAAAAACAATATTTGAAGGCAAAATAAAAAGTAAAGTTATTTAGCAAAAAAATTGAGCAACTTAATCCCAAGCGTTTTCATCATGCATGTAGTCTACAACAGGGTAGTGTGCCCTACAACAACATCAATAATAAAACAGAACTAATGTTATTTTAAGCCTGATAGACCGCGCCGCGCAATTATTGTCGATATCGCCGTTCCTCATGACAAAAATCTCGTGAAAGTTGAAAAAGATAAATAAAGTATTTGGACTCATCTCACGAGATTGTCGATATGTGGAATGTAGATATAGAATAGGAAACTACATACTCTTGAGCATCGTCGTGAAGTCGCTTGCTTATCGGTTTTCATAGGATTCCCTATAGTGGTGTCTCAAAGAGACCTTTCACTCTTTGAATTGAACGTTCACCATTCCCTCATTTCTAGAAGTGGACTGAGGTAACTACGTTTTGATATATATTTTGGTTCGAGTTGCCAAAGTCTGCAATGAAGTGCCTCCATCTATTTTTCCAGTCCAATTCTACATATGATGCTGAACGGAGTCCATTTGTTAGCTTATCTATATAAGTGCCATAGTGTAACTTTGAATGTAATGTTCAAAAATTTGCATTTTCTACAAGCTTCAAATGTATTTTATTCACTAGTACTCTGCTTCTTTCCTATTTATTACTTACTATTTCTGGTTTAAAAACAAATTGCTATAAATTAACCAGTTTTTTTCTTAAGAAAAAGCGATACTTACATCGGCAGTAACAGGTTGAAATACAAATTTAGTACTCTTTGGTAAATTATTACTAGATAGAAGTTATATTTAAGCTTTTTAGACATGTCGTTTTGCTTGACACTCGTACTCACATATATGCATATATTATGTCATCTGGCCATTTGTGGACAAGTTACAATTATTTTGATTGTTATTTTCTTTTTGATAGTATGAGAGAAGAAATGTCGAGTTGGATATTAGACATTCGGAGCAGACAGAAAGCAGAGCAGATAATTTTGGTACTGCACAATTCAATTTTAAAAAAAACAATCAAACAAGTTCTTAGGTAGAATTTAACTACCGGTTAACGGTACCGGAATCTGGGACCCGTTGCTGGTAATAATATTTTCCCTTCATCTATGTTCTATCGATATTTTACTGTAGTATAAAGAATATTTAATAGAAGTGCGTGTTCCGCAAACAAATAAAGCTAATTGAATGCCGGTATTTCAATGGATACATTAGCTTGTTACACGCGAAACTCTATAGAGAAACAGTGTCATGCATAGGCATAATATGTAGCAAAAATGATTAAAAACAATCTTGTTCACTCTTTACTAAACTAACCCGAGTTCTGATTTTAATTCTCTGCATGAGGCCAAGTCAACTCGTGCGCAGCATTAATCCTATGCAGTTATTCCGGTGAAAGTAACGGAATAAATGCAAGATCATTTGGAAAGTTAGAATCATCATAGTTATAAATTCCAGTTTATATTCATAAAACCGTTAATAATGGAGTGGCTAGACGACGATGCCCACAACATAAATCATGCAAACATGTTTAAATATTAATAAAAATGACGACCTCCTGGGTCCAGTGTACGTTTGCGCTTATGCTTCTGTCGGATCGTGAGGTCCTAGGTTCGTTTGTCGAGCAAACGCGGGTCTGGAAACGTCCCTGGTAAACCGACAATAAGTTTGCCATTATTACATGGAACCAAAAATATTATGAAGAAATTTGAGTGAAATATACATACCTCTGCCTACCCTTTATAGGATATGTAAGCGTGAGTAAAAAAATAAATACTTCTGTATTAATCAGTCTTTGCAATGTTGTGTAATTTGACCTTCACAGGTAACTCGGTCAATGACACGTCACGGAGCTAATGATAAATTCTGAAAGTCACTATTATCATACCGTTAAAACTGTTAATAGAATTTATTTTACGGTATATCCGATATTCAAGAATCACCAAAGACAATTTAAAAACAGCCCTACTTTAACGTGATTACGTTAAACTACCGCTAATTAATTCGTGTTTAAAAAATAATGAAGTAATAAGTAGCACTGTTTTAGCAAACTATACGGACAATGATAAAAATAAAATATTTTTTATTATAGTGGGTAATTAAATAAATAGTCCAACTTTTAATTGTTTACCCACTTAGCGCCGCCGTACACATTTGAGTACAGTTAAACCTCATATCGTCGAATTTGACTTTTTTGTATTATAAGATTGTTATAAAAACGAAATGACATCAAAATAACTAATTAAAATATTAATGATAGATTATGTTTTTGTCATTATAACAGAACGTTGTTGAAGGTGGGCGTAAATAATTTATGTACTTTGGAATACTTATTGCATAAATTAGGATAATATGGTATATAAACAACAGGCACAATTTTTTTTTCTCAATGTACCAATACTGACTAGGTTTTCAAACAACCTATCGAGGAGTTCTGGAAGCCGGTTTAAATGAAAGCGATGATAAAGCTAGTGTCGTGACGGATGAAAAAGTGGAGTTGATGGGTCATGCAATCATGGGACTTTTGAAGTTTACGAATATTTACGTGATAAGGATGAAGAACCAACCACAAAGAGACTAGCAAAACATCAAAAGGAAAGAATCCAAGTGTGACCTAATTTATTCCTCAAGAGTAGAAGTTTTTCAAGGACTTGACCCCGATAACATTTTTGAAAATGTAATTGTTGAGATTCTAGAAGTGATTCTTTTTATTACTAATTTATTTGCGAGACAAAATAACAGATACTCATAGTTCAAATAAATTAAAAAACCTTATTGGTTTTATAATGTTGTCCGGATATATCTAAGGAGAGCCTGTAACTTTTCTTTTTAAAGTCAATGGCAACATAGATATTGTTACTAGACAAAAAACAGCGAAACCATTTTTACGAAGCAAGTCAGTTAAATTTAATTTACCCCGTCACAACTATTTTTCTAATTTTTATTAAGGACAATCAACTAGTAAAAACTAAAGAACCTTTTGGATTAAGAGTTATCAAATCTTTTAAAGAAACTAGAGACCAACGAACGAAAATGCCAGGTCATTCATTAGAGTTCGCTACCGATGCAAAATTTACTTTAAAACGTATACCTTTTAACGTTAATGTTGTGGAGGCTAATTTGAACTTTATCAACGCTAAGACTCTTACAAGAAGAGTACCTACATGTAAAACTGAAATAAATTATCAAAAACAGTACCTACATGTAAAACTGAAAAAAATTAACAAAGGTAATCATTGGAAAATAAAAGGTTATTATTTTGGCGCTTGGTGAGTTATCCTGACAGTGCATTACGGACACCACAAATTGCAAATAATATAGGTATTTAATTGCAAATAATAATTGTTCTAGCATAAGTATAGTATGACCACTACAATGATTTCACTGCCTATCTTATCGTGAATGGAATTTGATTTAATCTTGTTTTCAGATATTAATAACATACTTTTTAGAAGGTGAAAATAGAAAGACTGCGCTAAAATATTAAATCGGCGCTTTAGTATTTAAAGAACTTTGTTTGTAACAATAAGTTCGTGAAGAAACCACTGAGCTGGGAACGAACCTTAACCGAACCAAATACCATTACCGTGGATGAGCATGGCTTCGTGTAACTAATTTCACCAGTAGAGAACCTAAGCAACTAAGCTAGTGGTACTGATGGATAGCGGTCTCCCAGGTTATTTTTTAGAGGAACTACTCTTACCCATGTACCATCGAAACCGGCTGTACCCTAAAACTAATATCTAAGAAGTAAAGAAAATTATCTGTACGTAATAAAAAAAATGGCGAATTGAGGAACTTGAAATTAAGAATACAGTAAGATTATTTGCAAATAATATCACTTTTTGATAGACTAACATTGACAGGTCAAATTTACTGAAATTGCACAAATTTATAAATTATGATTGATGTTCCCGCCAGGCAATCTTTAGTACTACTCCACAATCTAATTTTTGAAAAATAAATAAAAATAAGTCCTGTGTTGGGTCCTCGGTATTGACATAGAAATCCGGTAGCGAGTTATTAAAAACTGTTTAGGAATGCCGAATTATTTAAATATACCTAATTTACATAATATATGCATAGATATTTATAAGTTTTGTATCAATACTTTCCTGCTAGAAACACAAATACACATAACATGCATTAATAATGTATTAATGTAGATCAAGATCAATTTTAAAGACAACTCTCGCTCCAGAGAATACATGAATTGTCCCAGGACTCCGAAAACTATGGGCATCCATATTTTGGAGTAAACATTTGAGTATTTAAGGTGCGATCCCGACGTTAGATAGTCATTTACGTAGAGAGTGGTTTGATTAAACTTCTACCCCACATCTTATTCCAAATACTAAAACCAAAGTTAAGAGCAGTCTTTAAAATGTCTTAAACAGATCATCACATCACAATAAAGCATTATTAAGTATACTACTACTAGAATGGCTGGCACATTTTTGCTTAAATATGATTTAGATACTATGGTTGGAAAATTCCAGCTGGGAAAGAAAATCTAATCTTCCAAAGACTGGTGTTACCCAGCATTGATAAGTGTACTTTTTAATATTATAGCTCTAATACCAGCTCGAAATATCGATTTTATAAATAGAAATAAGCAATATTTAATCATACTACCAACCTCATTTGGTAATCCGAAGGGAGGAAGGCGTATGTATAAAAACACAGGATACAATCAGTCTTAAAATGAATAACCTTGATTATCTTTTTAAAGCATTAATCTAATCAGTCTAAAGAAACTTTTGTGACAAATATGATGTATTTCTATGATATTGAATTTCTTAATCTGCCCGTCTGCTCCATTGATATTATATAAAAAAAACTCTAAGCAGTGTTATAAACAAAGCAAATCAGTAATAAACAAGAACCTGAAGTAGTTATTTTTATAATAAAAGAATGTAGTCAGAATGACTACTATTTCATATTCAAAATGTTTAAAAAAATATATTTACCTGAGCATACCAGTAGCCCATTCCTTGTTGATAGGGGTAAGGGTACTGCGTCTGCGCACCCATCGCTGGCGGCGCTGCTGTCGCATTGTTGGTACTCTGAAATTAGAACAGGTTTTATGACAACATATCCAATTCAATTATTGTCAGTGTGTAATTAGTGATCAAGTTGAGCTTCAACTTTTAACTTGCTAATCCTCTATATTGCAACATTGTTGCTAATTTTAACGTTATGCCTGTATGAATAACATTTGTTTGCAAAAATTACAAATTTTGAACTTATGAATATAATTAATGTCTCAATCAATGCCATTTTTTTTTTACCTCACACAACAAACACAAGGCTGTCTGATTCTAAACTAAGCAGAGCCTGTGCTATGGTAACCAGACTGCTGATAAACATACTTTTAAATACATAATTACTATAGATAAATTATACCCAGACACAGAACAAATGACCGTGCTCAGCACACAATATATGTCCTGGGTGGGAATCGAACCCACAACCTCCGGCTGAGCAGTCAGGGTCACTAACCACTAGATCAACAGGCTCCTTTTCACATTGTTTTGAGTTATGTGATCAATTCACCAATTTCATGCAGTTAAGATTATTTAAGAATAATAAAAATATGCTACAAAAGAAATGAACATAAAACAGATAAATAAAAATGTGGTATTACATTTAATTTCAAACATACCTGTTTTTTTTATTCATATCAAAACTCAAATTACATTAAATTTACTATTTTTAACAAATTCATAATAGTTGCACAAATCTTTTAATTTTGCTAACAGAAATGTTTGTTTGTGATGTAATAAGAAATCGATATGTTTAAGAGTTCTTTTAACCATGAGCTCGTCCTACATGTAAGATCAACAGCACAAAATGATCCCAAAGTCAACTTTCTATGGAATACTTAAAACCTACAATAAAAGATCGTTAAGTATATTGTAGCTGAAAGTAATATTTTAAGCCACTTCCTTTCTTAGAAAAGCCGGAGGCAAATCAATAACAGCACCTAATACTTACATTATTGTTATGAATATTATATTTTATAAAGAATGGAATTGAATTTATTTAGAAATCATGTAAAAGTGGGTGAATGTTTAATCAACAACGGTAACCGTGGTAACTCATTGGTTTAATGCCCTGTAACTTGTTCTACAAATATCTATAATAAAACAATTATATATTTTCAAAAAAAATACTTGCATATCTAAAACCCATGTAATAAGCTAACATAATCTTGGAGGAATGTCTTTCTAGTCCTGTATATATGTTGATCTCACATGGTACAGAGTCTTTACAAAGATAGTTTGTACTTGTGATCAAAATAAAACAATTAAGTATATAATAATCCCCCTTCACTACTAGATGTCTAGTTAAATTAGATGAGAAGAAAATGGTCAGTTACATACTTTAACTAGTAGCAAAGATACATTTTCAACTCTTATAAACCATTGTAAAAATTGTATGTTTGTATGATATGTTTAACATGACCATGTTATTAAGATAAAGAGTGCAGCAGATTTAAGGCAGCTAGCTTTTATCTCAAAATCACTGACAACGGTAAGGCATCTAATTGATATCATGATTCACAATTGCTATTGGGCAAATTTTAATTTAATCTATAGATAATGAACACAAAAGAAATGTAGTTTGTTCACCCCATAAATCCCCAATGCTTATTACTGCAGAAGTTTTCTATTATTTGGATAATTTTAGTAGTATTTGATCAAACATAAACATGAATTTTATTTTTGAATCAAAATACTGTTAGGAAATTGAAGACATAAAAATGTACTCCTTAACGTCTATTGCCGACTCCTTGACAACCTGTTTAGTGTCCTGCTTGCAACTTTATCACAGAAATTGCCTCAACAGCTTCTATAACAACATTGAAAACAAAATACACAAAAAAAAGCTTTGTTGCAATTTAGACAAGTGTCAGTATACAACCTCAGCTAATGTTTGATCAATATAAATTTATTTCAATTAAACAATTCAGCTCTGAAAAACATTGCAAAGGAAATACAACTCAATTTCTACAACAATAGAGATGCTTTTGATATGTTGTTTTAATATGAATGAGTATGACATTGCAATTTTGTAGGTTATGAAGAATATTTCGCTTAGACATCACTTAAGTTTTACATCCTATAAACAAAATTTACTAATAATATAATAATAGTTTGTAAACATGTTAAGCTTTATCAATAAGAATTTTACTACAGTAATTTGCTTGAAATATTAACATAACAATCCAATCAACAGGTTGCATTAGGTAATCATGTAGACTGTTAAATACATGGTTCTTTGTGCAATTTGAAGCATTTCCAATGTGTAGTCAAATAGATGGTCTATCCTATGCATAACTGTAACCCACCTCATTCATTCTTCAATGAAATCTTTTTATCAGCAGCAGAAGAGAGATTTGAATGAAGTAATGCTGGACACAAGTACCAAGTTTTGTTGTCAGTGAAGTATGAGAGCAGTAGAGAAGTATAAATATTCAGTGAAAATTTGTAACCAAATATTCCATGAATATTTTGTGTTTGGCAGCCTGACTAGACGTCTAGCTGACTACCTTATTTAATATAATGTTAATCATTTTAACATTATCAATAGCATGCATTTCATCCAGGCAGTTTTGGAAGATCAGATGTTAATTGACTGACAAATGTTTTGATAAATTCCCAATAAATCTAGTTTGATTGGACAAATTTAGATACCATTTTGATTATTTAACATTTTAAACAGTCAACCTCATTGAACCTCATTTAAAGAGTTTTATACTATGATTTAATAGTTACTATTAATTACAGTATTCTCTACTTACCCGTGATGTAAGTCAACACTAAATTGTTTGACCACTCATCACAATATATGAATTTCTTCATGTAGGTTTGCAGTTGGCATGTAAACTAACTAATCTATCTACAAGTTACACCTGAAAACAATATTTACCTTGTAAAAATATACAAACCTGATTGTCACCGCCTCCATTTTCTTTACCCCAGAAACATTTGACTATGTGACCGCTAATTTCTGTGTTATGTGTCGCTTCAATAGCATGTGCTGCCGCTTCTTTAGTTGTAAACCTAATGAAAGCATAGCCTTTGTCCCTGAACACTCTGATGTCTTGTATCTGACCAAATTGTGAGAATGTGTTCTGCATTAATTCTTCAGTAATTACACTGCTAGTGAATCCTCCGCAGTACACTGTTGTGTTCGTAGGAGAGCTCTGGTTGTAAACTTCATCGAACGTGGGCTGTTTAGCTCGCTTGCTGCTAGGTGTGCCTTCATTAGGCTTTGAAGGTGGCTTGCGTGTCGACCAGTTCGTGCGTATGGACCGAGAACCTAGCCATTGACCATTCATTGCCTGAATAGCGGCCTCCGCATCGGCCTTTTTGACGAATGAAACAAAAGCATATCCTTTAGATTTGAGCGTTTGTGGGTCGCGAACTATCCGACAATTCGAAATTTCACCAAAAGGTGCAAACGCTTCCCGCAATATGTGCGTTTCTATCTCTGGTGATAAATCACCGACAAATATGTGATGATGGTTGCTGGTATCAGTCTTCGGCTGATTGCCAGGACTCGTAGCCCAGTTAACCTTCATTTCCTTGTCGAGGACCACTCGCTTGTTCATGGCGGCCAGAGCTGTAGCTGCCGCGGTGTGACTTGTAAACTCGAGGAAAGCATACGGATCGTTGCCAGGTTCGCGGATTATCTTACAGCCTTTTACTTCGCCTATTTGTCCGAACAACGTACATATGAATACTTCTGTAACACTTGCGTCCAAATTACCGACGTAGAGAGTTTTGGGATGGCTTTCGTCGCCCATATTAGCTTATATCGTAATCTAGCGATTACTTAATTACGACTATGAACACTAATAACGAAAATAAGCGTTAATCGACGTGTTATTTCATCACATAAAACATTGGATGACGGATAAAAGAAGGAAAAATGTCGCAAACAGCGCTTACAACTTCTCGAAAGACGTTGCTGTTGACTCGTGAAACGTTCACTTTTCGGAAACAAACGCATCTATAGACGAATTTCCGGTAGAACTGTTTGAATAGTTGGCGGGAAAAAAGTAAAAGCAGGAAATAAAAACGGTAAACTAAATGAAATTTTCAGTTTTCATATATTTGTATACTTTCTGGTAAGGAATTGAATAGATTTCTTTCAATTATTTAAATAATTGGTTAATTGGTAATGAATGTTTTCAAGTCATAAACAATATAAACTAATGTTCATAGATTTTATACAAAACTTTTCCGGAAACGAGTGTCAATTGAAAGTCTATGACTCATCGGTAAAGTGCTCTTTCGATTACAAATCATTGACGTCAGGCCTCTTCTCCTATTGGGTAATATGTTTTAAATGTCAGAAACAACCAATAGCTGGATGTTCAGTGTTTTTAAATTGTTGATTTTTTTAAACATAGACAAGTAACTATTTCAGAAATAAATATTATTAAATTAATTTACTTATTTGCAGTGTGAGCTATTCAGTTATATAAAATATTCTGTCATTCTTAAAAAAAAACAGATATTGGTAAAAAATAATAAATGGTAATAAATACTCAGAATGAAAATAAAATTCTTTGCTTTTCTTTTTTCGAATGTAATAAATATAAGTAACTAGCACAATTAAATGAATTATTATTTTTATCCAATTTACTTATTTTAACTAACTATTTTTTTATTTAACCTACGGAGACTTTTTAAACCTGGTAAAACATCTTTTGTTTAATGGAAACATGAAAACAGAAAAAAAGCAGGACCTATTTTCGAACTGGTAATTTTAGCGACATTTTTGACAGTTCATTTACGACAGGTTGAGTTGTCGTATAATGTAAAGTTTATAGTGTATTTTAGCAATCATAGTTAAAGTTTTTGTAAATGGAATAGGTTCGCACACTAGCCGCCAAACTTAGTTGGGTATAGCTGGTGTCCTATAAAGTTTTATAGGTGACCATAAGTTCTTATCTTGCGAGGTTAGAACCGCTTGTCAAGTACACGTATGCAGCTATGTTACTTCTGTTCATTTTTTGTGATTATTGAGTGAAATAAACTGAAATGACGTGAAGTGGACTCTAGGATACACAGGAACTACAATGTTGCCGCTAACCCAAAAGGACACTCGAATTTATCGCGGCCCCCTGGGTGGCATACGCGAAAAGTTTCAAAATTGGTTAAGACTAATTTATTCTGATAAGAATTCAAGGAATTTGTTCCTATTTCTTATACTTAACTTGTCTTTTGCATTTGTTGAATTATTTTACGGCGTATGGACAAATAGTTTAGGTGAGTTTAATTAAATAAATCCAGTTGGCTTTTAAATCTATCATATTCAATGTTAACATCATATGTTCTGGACAGAGCAAGTTTTAGAACTATTGTTATGTTTTTAGGTCTAATTTCGGATGCATTCCATATGTTCTTTGATTGTACGGGTCTGGTGGCTGGTCTTGCAGCATCCCTAGTGTCCAAATGGCGTGCAAATGAAAGATTCACATATGGTTATGCTAGAGCAGAAGTACTGGCTGGATTTGTCAATGGATTGTTTTTGCTTTTCATTGCATTTTTCATCATGAGTGAAGCTGTGGAAAGAGCTATAGAGCCACCTGAGGTAATTTTTTTTTAAATAAATGCTGATGATCAGAAATAATCAGTGGTGTATATAATCACGATTCAGGAACATCAACAACCTTTAATAGTCCACTGCTGGATATAGGCCTCCCCTTAGAAAGGAGGGTTTGGCCTACTATACTACGCTGGCCAGATGGGTTGGTATAGGGTTTGTGTCAAGTTTTCCTTCTTTGCAGTGATTTTGTCCTGTATAGTTTGGACCCTTAGTAGCCTCTTAAACAATTAAGTATTCATTAATAATCCTTTTACTACTAGATGTCTAGTAAAATTAGATGAGAAGAAAGTGGTGAGTTACATACTTTAACTAGTAACAAAGATACATATTGAACTCTTATAAACTAATATACAAATTCCTTCTCTTGAATGAAAGAAATTGAAATAAAATACTGTAATGAGAGCTTATTATACTCTATTTCAATAATTTTGAAAATTAGAAAGACACTACATAACCTTTTAACATTACATTTATTTAGTGTAGATTTTAATTGAACCATGTTATGCAGAAAGAATTCAATCAACATATTGGTTAAATTATTAATACCAAAAATATGATCTCATTCTTTAAAAATATATATTTATATCATAAACAGTAATGTAAAAATGACTACTTAATATATGTGTTGCATATATTTAATAATACATAAGTATGTATGTTATAAAAATGTTCATAACCATTATTATTTCAATCATGATAATGAGCAGTTGTGGATACTTATGACCACTTAACTAAGGACAATATTGTTTCTGGTACATTACCAAGAATAGAGTAGGCCCATACTTTATTCTATTAAAGACTGACAACTTAAATTTTACGTTTATAGGGCTTATTAAAAAATATTGTTCTTGTCTATATTTAAAATGATTTCATTAGATTCTAAAATTCATTTATAATCAAATTTTCTAACTTGGTTAATGGTAAAGTTCCTTCTATACACATAGCTTTGTGTGGTACAAAAAAAAGGTGTATTCAAAGTTATAACAACAAAAAACTCTACTGTTCCCTTGGGGTGAGCAACAGGGGTGGTCTTTGGGGGTGGTGAGTAGGGCAACTGCCCGAGGTTTCGCGCTCTCCACCAACAACCCAAGTAGATAAATTTGTTTATTTGAATTTCGCGCCTTACGCCGCGCATTATAAAACTCACGACATGTAGTTTCGATTTACGTTCGGGGATTTCCCGTGTTTTTACAAAGACAAGGGTGATCAACCAGCCTAGGTCCTCGCAATGATCTACCCACCCAGGGCCGCGCAATGATCTACCCACACGGGGCCTCGCAATGATCTACCCGCCCAATTCAATTCCTTGCTCCTCAATGGCCGCCACTGAGGAGCAAGGAATTGAAATTCATGTTTTATTGTAGTAAGTGTGTTTATTGTGTAGTAGATCAATAATTTACATCCGAACAAAAAATTCAAGTGAAGTTATAGAAATCCATGAAATATCTGATAATTTGAAATAATTATTTTTTTGCAATCATGTTTATGTGATATAAAACCTTATCACGTTAAGAATAGGGTCTATTAATATTGTTTTAAAAATCTGTGTTGCTATTATCAGCAGAGCTAATTGCTTTAATGGTTTAACTGACTATTGTTAAACAATTAAACTTCAGTTTTAGTTTAATGTGCAGAATTCAGCGGTTTGCTGGATTTATCAGTAATTAATCAAACAATCAAGTGATTACCTCAATATTGTGGTAATTATAAGCTATAATGATATAGAAAGCAAGTAGTGAGTGATTGGGTTTTCTACATTAATAGATTTACCTAGATAAGGATATGAATTATCTCTTTAAAAGTTCAAAAGTAATGCCAAATAGTATAAGATTCTCAGTAAGTTTTTACATCATGTTGATACAGTTTGATTTTAACCGGTTAAATTTAGAGCCATGCTTTGACAATAATGTCACGGCACACCATGACCTCACAGAAAATTACTGTTAAATAATTTTCTTTTTGCTTTTCACTGAGTGAGTGAGGTTGGTTGAGTCTAAATCTGGGGAGATTTTGGGCTCATTGAACTCAAAGGCACACAAATAACTTCTGCTCCTACCCTTAACCATAGAAAGGAAATTCCTTGTGCCCCGACGTACCTCGGGCCAGCTACGGCGGGTAGACGACCACCCCCTTTTTTTTTTTTTTTCCGTGCGGAAATCCCCTCGGATACCGGATGTCGGATGTCGGACTCGAACCGACTAAAACCGCACGCCGTCTCGGGTACTAATAGCCGGGGAACCAGGTATACCCTAGAAAGGAAGTCCCTGGTGCCCCGGCATACCTCGGGTCATCTACAGACGAGTAGACGACCCCCCCCCGTGTGGGAACCCCGTGTTCCCTCTGTGCCCCCACCCCGGCCTGCTTCTGCTAAGGTGACAGATGGCCTCACCTGTCACCCCCAGGCCTGCGCTTATGGAGGACGGAGGTCGTTCTGTGACCTCCGGCGCCTGAGTCGTCTGCGGTACCTGGCCCGTTCCCGAGCCTGGCGGGCCGGGAGAGTTCTAAACCTCTCCCGGTCCCGCTCCGCCAACTATCTTCGCTCCCTAGAATTTTTTTTTTTTATTCTAACATTTACCTATTTCGATGTTGACAATGTAAACACTTAATTTGTACTCAAAGTTTTCGATATAACTTTCATTGGACACACAATTTGCAACACCATTACTTTGATGTTGAAATTCAGTTACTAAAGTATTTTCATTGGAAGCACGTATTTTAAAAGTGTTACCAATGATTATTGTCAGTTTAAATGAGCGTATTATTGCAGCGTATTTATAAATGGCTCGATGTAATGATTCCATTGCCTACAAAATAAGTTTAAAAATAAAAGTATTGTGTTGCTATATACATTACGACTCCATTGTTTTTTTATTCTCTAGCGACTTTAACCTATTTTTAATATGTACCATACAGATTAAAAATATTCATTCATTCCATTCTTTTGAAGGTTTTACTTTACTTATTAGTTTGTGCAAGAAAAAGTTTTGGAAGTAAGGCGTTACAGGTTTATTTTCGTGTATCACGCGCGATTATTAATGGTTACAGTAAATATATCTGTTTTTTTCGGATTAAATTATATATATAAATTGTTACTTCTTCCATTGAAAAGAAGATCCCCAAAGCTCCTTATGAATAGTCAGCCTACCTGTAATTTGCAACCCTGTATGTTTTTGTGAAATATTATTATAGTAATAATATTCCAGCGAGATTGGATCAAATTACTATAATAGGTTTTTTCTTTATTTAGTTAGTATCGAAGTTATTATTGGTTGTTTCCAGTTAATACGATTTAAAACTTGATATCTATTTGCAAACACAAATGCTTTAAGGAAAATAAATTTAAGGAAAATAGTAGTTTTGTACTGCGGTTTTTTGAGTACCATTCACCTTTTTGTGATCACTTCAAATGATATACAATAGCACAAAGCTATCACGGGTGTTTAATCAGGGATACAGTAGATATCTGTTCTTATTCACAATATAACCGATGTTTCCAACTTTCAGAAATATATTGGAAAAATAAATTAAAGTATTCAATACTCTGTAGTTCTTATAGCCTAACGAACTAGACCAGACAGAGCCAGTCAAGTATAACCCCTATGATTTTTCCTTAATTTATATGGCAGTCTTTAAAATTGTTAATGTATATTTCATAAATTCCGTTTAGTTACGGCAACGAGGCTTAATAAGATCTCTGTTTCTAATGTTTAAGGCTTAATAAGTATTTTCTGTAAAATTTTTGCAGTGTTTAAGATTATATATAGAAATTAAAATTACATAATAATAACTGACATAATACAGCGAGTATTTCAGTAAAGAACACACTTCAAGTGAAATGTAAATTATTTTGTTATCGTAATAGCTGAGACGTAATACTTGTTATCAGGAGGTGGGTTTCGAAAGCCATATAGTTAGTTAGTTAGTACGTGACGTATACCCAACTGACGTGAGTATAAAGACATTTTCTCAAGCATATTAGTTAATATTCTATGACACTAAACTACGCTCCTAGAAATGTAAAGTAATAAAAACGAACGAACAACTAATAATTGAATATAGTTAATACAAGCCAAGCCTGGGTATCTTCCTCGTAACTAAAAAAAGAATAAATTTGCCCCGTCTTTGCAACATGTTTTCTTTGATGTTCCGCCCCTATCGGTCGTGATGTTATATAGCCTGCCTATGCCCTTTTTCGATAAATGCGCTATTTTTTAATTCGAATCATGGGCGGCGATGGTCACTTTCCATTGGGTGACCCGTCTAACATAAAAAAAAAACAGTAGGTCGTGAGATAAACGCGTTCAACCCAACAAACACTCTTTAGTTATAATTTTAGTATAGATATATGTATAATGTATCCTTGAGTAGACTTTCAATCGTGATGTTTCGGATTCGGTCCTCACCCACAGTACTATCGACGTGACTATTCACCCTTGACACAAGCATTTAGCTTAGTTGGAGCAATTATCAGGCTAGTTCCTTTTATTTTTTATGTCTCGTAGTATGTCACAGCATTAGGTACGATACTTGCAACATGTGTTCACGTTGACACAATAGGGTACTTTCTTAGGTTTCCAATAAATTATTTCACCTGTATTATTAAATGTAACATCTTAAAGTACAGCCTAAATTGTCCTCCGTTATCAAGTTAATGTTTTTATTGATTTGATATGTTCAAATCCACATTAAATATAAATGATTAGACAATACCTAGGTATGACGTCACGCCTTATTATTTCATACAAAAATGTACCGCGTCTATCGTTTTGACGTTTAATATAAAAAGATACTGATTTGACTTAACAGTCATCCTTTTGTCTTAAAAAAAAACTTGTACATTTACTATTGTTAACAAGTTCGGTGTGTGTAAGTATCGGTGTATGTGTTTCAAACACATCCTACACCGATACCCGCATTTCGTACGTGACCCGTAAGGTTCAACGTCATGATTGTAGCTCCACACAAAACCTCAATTGCATAAAACGTGTGTACATTTTCGGATCCTAACGTGATATAGATAAGCCATATCTTATCAGTTAAGCACGTGTATGTTTTTTTATAAGGGCTATAATGTAAATGAATCGACTAGTAAAATCGATTTTATTGTCACTGGTATTTTTATGGTATGGGGGCCGAATGAACAGACGTGTCATTCGATGGTAACTGACTACCGTCTCCTGTAACAGCCATCTACATCTTAAGAGTCATAGAATGTCTCTAAGTCCTCCCAGAATCAATGGGGAGGTTTTGAGGATTTTGAGCTTTTGGTATCCTGACTAGGTATTGTATAAAATCACAATCACATGTGATAAATAATTTTATTTATAAAACACTGAACGACTGTGATTTTTTATTATTACGCTAGTGCAAGACTCGCGAAAGGTCTAAATTATAAAAAAAGGTCGTAATCTTTGATGAAAAGAAGACATTTATTAATGTTTCACATCACATCAGCCTTAAATAGTCTACTGCTAAATTAAATTAAACATTAATATGCCCATATTAATGTTTAATTTAATTTAATGGCATTTATCTTTGTCTATGACGTAAATATTTAAAAAAAAATCATTTCATAAAATGAATATGATTTAAAAGTAGCAAAAATTTCCATGCTTCCTTAAACATCGGTTTTCTGGAAGCCCGTGCTGCAAAATCACAATAACGTAAACATATTTCCATCATAAGTATGTAGTCAGTTATTTCAATTGATAGATATAATCATTTCTGCATAACAACACGTGCGATAGTTCCGCTAACGGAAGAATTCTAATATTGATTTTAAAATGTATAGCTCGCAGTAAACTTGCGTAACTGAAAGTATAAGGTCGTTACAACATAAACGTTAAATCTGAATAACCAAACTATAGTTTCTTACTACTACGTGTGTTGAAATGAGGGTATCTGTCAATAACGAATGCACGGATAACGTATTGGGTACCCTAAGACCCTATCATAGGGCGACTTTTCATAGAATTGGGTGTACTGGCGTTAATTTTCCGATTCTGATCTTTTGACTTTATCTAAATCATAATGAACCTTTTCGCCACACTATACCCCATGCTGTGGCGAATATATTCTCATGGATCGAATATTGTTCATAAAAATTATTTTCTCTGCGACTACCTATGTTATCTACTTATAGAATTCCTGCTCTTTCAATCTCTAAAATTCACGATTTTTGACCGCAAGCTTGCATATAAATATTTTTACAGATTTACCATGTAGGATCCAAGTATTATTACTACACAAAAAGTACAGGGGCTTTATCTATCGAAATTCGGTTTAAAGTATTGTCGCAACGGTCTATGATCAAGAATAAAATATTTAGAACAGATAACCCATTACTTTAACCGAACCGAGCCTGATGCTGATAGCATACATTCTCAGCACCCCAAGTTCAGGATACTCTGATAATAACGAACCTATGTCATTCTGGCCACGTGGAAACTTGAAAGAGTTACCTTTACAGAATAAGACAGAGACTCAATGTCATAGCTGAGTACTTTTTCGCTTAGAATCGACTTACTCATTAATTTCTATTCTCGTGACATCAGCATTTTATACTCAACTGTAACTTATGATTGAATTTGGATTTATAAAAAACACTACAATTCGTAACAAAACTTCTTATTATTTTCCAGGTGAAACATGAACGCCTCCTTCTGATCTCTATACTCGGCTTCCTAGTGAACATGGTGGGCATTTACGCGTTCCACCACGGCCATGGCCACGGGCACGGCGGACATGGTCACTCACACGGAGGTCACGGCCACTCCCACAACAACCATGGGCATTCCCATGACGACGACGGCGAAGCACCCACCGGCGCCGGCTCGGCTATCATGAGAGGCGTATTCCTCCACGTCCTGGCTGACACGTTAGGATCCGTTGGCGTAATCATTTCAGCTATCCTCATGAGAATGTTCGGCTGGATGCGAGCCGATCCTATATGTTCCATGGCTATAGCACTCCTTATAGCTGCTAGTGTAATACCCTTAGTGCGTGACTCCGCTGGTGTGCTTATGCAAAGGACTCCCACATCATTAGAGCGCGCATTACCTAACCTGTTCACACGTGTAGTAGGCCTAGCTGGCGTACACGCAGTTCACGAACCTCATTTCTGGACTTTATGTAGTGATGTCCACGTGGGTGCTCTTAAAATAGAAGTGGCGAAAGAAGTGGACCCCAGGTACATAACAGAACAGACGTCGAGAATCTTCAGAGAAGCGGGCGTCAAACATTTAACTGTACAACTTGACTACTACCCGCTTTGATGACGTCACAATGGTCTCCCACGTAGTGGCACCCTTGTCTTGTATATAAGGAAAAACTAAGTTAAATAAATGTAATGTACAATTATGTTTTCGGGAAATGATTGTAAGTTGCAATATTTTTGAACGATTTATTGGTTGTTACGATGTAGAAATTCTTATTTCTTATTTTCACATTTCTATAAAATTTAAAATTAAACAACTAGAAGGTTGGCTGATTGAATTAATAACGTAGAAGAAGAGTAACACAAGAAGTATTGGTTTAGTTTATATTATTACAAATTTTTCGTTATATTTATATATTTTTTATAGATTTATTTTATCTTTTTATCTCTTTATTTGTGTAACATTCCAATTATTGTATTAAACGATTGATTTCCTCACTGTATTAGTTGCTAAAGTAGTTGAAATTCAATTAAGTTTACTATTTTTTTACATCGGAAAGCTAGAGGTATGCGCGTTAGCAAATTGATGATAAATGAAGCAATAAATATTGCACCCCTTATAAAATTGTAAATTTGCTCTGTCTATCGAGTGTTTTTAATTTATTTACATATAATTGAGCGATTTAAATAAAATCAGATGATGAACGGCGGTTAAAGCTCAGTATTTCGAGCGTAAATAATATAGTGAAAGCTGCAGGTTAGTTTTAATTATATCTACCCAATAGAATCAACAAGAGTTTTTCCCAAGTCGTTACAATTTAAAATTTGTGTGATATGTCAATATGCGTAATTAGGTAACATTTTTATATTCGTAATAAAAATCTGAATTATTATGACTGGAGTGAGATTAATTATGATGATGATTAGTGATATTTGTATAATACCACATAATCCGATATTAAGTGTGTACAACTAAGAAATATGTGAATCAGAAAAGAAAATTTATGTTGTATTGACAAAATTGATTGAAAATATATAAAAAAATTTAACGTGGCTTTATGGATACCCCTACGGGTCATTATCTAGCTAGCGGTAAAGTGGTATGTCGAAATCGAACCGATTGAAATATCACGATGTTCACAAACGCATCTATTACTAAGGACCCGGGTATAACCTAATAAAGACCTGAAAAACCCTAACAGAACTTAAAGCGATTAACCACCTCTTAAAATCGAGGCAGCGACTTCAGACTGTCTGTAACTCTGGCTTATGTAAGATACGCTTGGAATAAAGATTAAAATGGTTGTACGCATCGTCTGAAATTAATTCAATCGCATCTGTACCTACACAACATTATTACTCTACAATTTTAGAACACGAAGGTTATTATTCTAATATTATTGCATGTTAAATGTGCAATTATATCGAGGATACGCCTATTTCTAACAAAATACCTTTAGGTAACTTGATCGTGTAGAATTCAGAAGTATTTTTCTTTTAATACTAATTCGATAATATGTGCCAGGTAGTAATCAAAGGGTGATTGTTGCCAAGTAATAAAATAACTGATATGTAATGTCAGATTAAAACCAATAAGAATGTTTATTTAACTGATTTCCATCTGATATCTAAAGTATAGCTAAGTCTTGTGTTTATTAATTTCTCTATTAATTATTTCTCTAAATAGGGTTATCCGAAATAGAGGTGCACCAACACTTCGGATGTGCACCTCATTAATTTCGTACTAAGCGAGAAATGAAAGCTATAGGGTGAAAAATATTTTTTATTATTGACTCGCTCGTTATATATTCTATGTCAGATTGTTTTCGTTCGCAATACACCTGTATGGTGCAAAATAATTGTGTAATATAATTTGTATTTATTATTGCATTGCGTGAAATATGTATTAACCCACAGAACCTGATTAAATCAATTTTTACGAGATTAAATTAAGTTACCGATAGATTGCCTTTTCATTTATATTAATAAATAATGTATAAGGAGTCTATAAGGATGAAGAAGGAGATGGCAAAGCGCTGATGGTTTATTAAGTATATGTGTGTACTTTTCTTAAATACAAACTCTGGCATTTTATTGATTTTGCTGTTGCAATACAATCCCTAAGCAACTGGCACAACTCGTAAGCCTTCAACAACGATTACTGCTCCACTACAGTCGACTAGGTGTCCTAGAGCACTCCTTGTTTAGCTACATATTTTCTGGTCAATTATTCCACAGCACTTCTTTCAGGTATAACTACTCGTCTAGGATCCTCCTAGAGAATCCTACAAATAATAGTGAATAAGTAGTAGATTACTTCGTATTACAGTCTTCCAAATCTCGGACAACATGCTATACTAGACTACCCAAGAACAGTGCTGTTATTGACTAATTCTAGAACTTCGAGAGGACCACACAGGACAGATAAGCCTAGGTACTGTCCCATATGTAGGACGGTAGAAATAAAAAAAATATATTTCAACTTACCCGTATATGTTGTTGATAACCTTTACTTACTATTTACAAGTATATAATTGAAAAAAGAATTTGAAAATGATGAAAGAACTAAGAAGGAAAGAAAGAACTATCAATACAAGGTGAGTTACCTGTGAGTGGTACTGAAGAACCTCCTGCAAGACAATCTAAACGCAGACGAGTTAAAGTTAAAGAAAAGGGACTTATATATCTCAAGTGTTTGGTCTCAGATCAAAGGACCTTACCAAGAAAGACATCTCATCTAGTGGCTCGAAAACTTTATGTATGTAGACGTAAGTTCTATGTTGGTGTCAGAGTCACAAATATCCTATGAAAAATATTTTCCAGGAGATGTTACCGCTGCACCAGGGACTTCCTTTCTAGGGTATACCTGGTTCCCCGGCTATTAGTACCCAAGACGGCGTGCGGTTTTAGTCGGTTCGAGTCCGACATGCCACCGACAGGTGGGATCCGAGGGGATTTCCGCACGGAAAAAAAAAGGAGATATTACCGCTGAGGATATCTAGTGCTTTTCTGCTTTTTGGTAGAAGAAGAATTTATTGGTGAAACACTCTTGATACGTGAAACGAGTTAGTAAGCTCTGACCTGCTATGACCAGGGATAGGTTTGATTTTATTTTCCGCTTCATTCGTGTCAAGGATAATCTTGATCTAAACAAAAAGAATACAAACAAACGCCTTCTCGTATCATTGCTATTTTTTTTTTTCCTATCGATGAACATTACAGCGCAGGCTTCGTAGATCACACCATGATCCCTTATTACGTAAGGCATGTCTGCAAACAGCATATAAAAGAAAACCTATCAGGTACCGGTTCAAGACCTGGGGTGGAGTAACTCGGCTGGGGTTTGTGTTGATGATTAAGTCATATCTAAGTGCATCAACCATGTGTGATCATAAATATAAGGATTTTATATGATTTTGGAGTATCATCATCAGCCTATCGCAGTCTACTGCTGGACATAGGCCTCTCCCATTGCACGCCACTTAGATCGATTTGGAGTATATATTAAGTGTTTTTAAGTTAGGTACACCTAACACAAATAAATATTTTTGGCAATCTGCAATTTAATAAAATTAAGATTTATTAACATTTTGTATCATCATCAACAGCCTTTAATAGTCCACTGCTGGACATAGGCTTCTCCTTAAAAAGGAGGTTACCTTTTGTATACTTATTACAAATTTTCTACGAATAAAATGTTGATATGTTAAACCACAATTTTTACCACCTTGTGTGCTATATACTGCCGTCATAAGAAAAAAAGACGCTTCTAACATTTTTTTCAAAATCTCACTATTTATATATTCGGAATCAGAAGAAAAAGACGCACCTACCAGTATTTTTTATTTTTGCAAAAACTAAATAGAACCCTAAAAACATCACTAATAAATAAGGCACTTCTACTTGATAATGCAAAATTTACTAAATAAGAAAGACATTTATGACGTATATTAAGTTGAAAAGACGCGTCTTAATAATTTATAAAATAACTATTCGATCATAGAATGAAAAGACGCTTTACTTTGCTTATAAAAAGAAAAAAAAAATATTGCTACAGAAACTTGACTTGGAAAGAACAAAAATATTTTATAATACACAACACGTCTAAAGAAACGCCTAAGAGAAAAACTGTTACAGGAAATCGAAAATCGCCTAGGAATGTAAGTATCTCGTATTTTCTGCTAAATGAAACGGGGACTAAAATCAATGTCTGCAAAGTTTTTTTTCTAGAAACATTAGGTTACAATAGAAAAAACGATAAGTCTGCACAAAACGCCTTAAACAACCTGGTACATGAGACCCCAGTTGTTATAGATAATCGAGGAACCAATCCTAATAAGTTCGACAACACCAAAGTCTTAGAACACATAAACTCATTCAGCCCTTCCATATCCCATTACCGCCGCGAGCACGCCCCAAATAGAAAATATCTTCCGTCTGACCTAACAATGGCTAGCATGTATCAAGACTTTTGCAGACAGCATCCGTCTTATGACTACTATAGAAAACAATTGAAAAAGTTAAATATAAGCTGTTCAAAACTTGGACATGAAGAGTGTGAAGTTTGTGAAAAATATTTTATTCACAACCCGGAATTTAAAGACATAGAAATTGTCAAGAGTGCCGAGGTTATGAAAGACACCGGAACAAATATACAACAGCCAGGCAAGCATATAAATCTGACGTCGAAAAACAAAATCAGACTGATATTAATTCAGACATTGCCTATTTTGCTGCGGATTTGGAGAAAGTCATTATGCTTCCACGACTTGAAGAATTTAAAATTGTTATGTTTTGCCCAAGAATAATAGTGTTCAATGAAAGTTTTGTTCCAATAGGTAAATTTAAAATTAACTAATTTAAAACATTTGCTGCGATATGGCATGAAGCAAAATGGGTGACATCGCCAGCTGTTTCAGAGCTTTTTTATATGCAAATAGAGACCTAAAACATATTGTTATTTGGTTGGACAATTGTGCAGCTCAGAACAAAAACTGGACTTTATATTCCTATTTACTTCATCTCGTCAACTCAGTCGAAGTCAAATTTGAAACAATAACGCTCAAATATTTAGAAGTAGGCCACACATTCATGGCTGCAGACGAATTTCATCACCAGGTAGAGTTATCTATGAAAAAAAAGTAACATATTTATGATTTTGAAGATTTTTACCAAACAGTATCGAACACCAGAACCAATATCACTGTTAAAGTTATGAATGTGGCAAATTTTTATCAGTTCGAAGATTGTTCTTCAACATACAAACTGCAAAATTCATCACCCTGAGCCTATCTAAGTGACATTTGCGAAGTAACATTCTTCAGAGGCACACACATTATTCGTTACAAAACTGATTTTGACAAAGAGCAAGAAAACTCACTCGACTTTTTAAGAGTAAAAAATATAAAAGCTGGTATACCGTCGCCAAAACCAAATAAACAGTGTAGAGGAGTTACTCAAGAGCGCAAGTCAGCGATTACACAAAAGGATGATGATGTTGATGATTGATGAAAAAGTTTAGTTTTTATAAAGTTATAAAAAATTGTTCATTCTATGATTACTACTTTTTATGTTTAATTTTTTTTTTGTTTCTGAAAGAGATTTAACATTTGTTGTGATTAGTATTTTTATTAATGATTAAAATTTGATAGAATTTTTTATTTGTGAAGAAATCATAATTTTATTTTAATATGAATATGTTATTTACAATAAAAAATTGATTTAATTCATTGTGTATTTTATAGTATAAGTGGTAAACATGTCAATTATTTAATCAGTATTAAAAGGGTGCAAGGGCGCATCGGTATTTCTAATACTGATAATTTTTTTATTTCACTAAGTTGAAACGCAGTAAGTGTCTAGAAACGTTCCTTTATTTTAGGTTTCTTTATCTGGTAACGCGTTATATTACTTAGTAAGAAAGACGTGCGATAAAATACTACGTAAAAAAAACGTTTCTAGCCAGAAACGTCTTTTCTTTGTAGTACAAAGTATTTCTTTGCAATTTTTGTACTACAATGAAAAGTAAAATGTGGATTATTTAAATGAATTTAATTACTTTTGTTCAATTTTCATTATAGAGATCATTATTATAGAGATCAACCTGCCAGGCATCCACTAGCATAAAAATATTAATGGTTTTTTTTATTTTCCTAGAGACAGCGAATTTTACAATTTATGAATTTATATTTTTTTTCTCCGGTTTGTCATTTATGTAGATGTGTCTTTTTCCATTATGGCGGCAGTATATAGGACGGCAGTTTCCCTGAAAGTCTTACAGGTGATATTTTGTCAGTTTTTTTTTTCTAAATTGCTTAAGATTAATTAACCAAATACATTTTATCAATGGTTTCGGAAATTGTCAGTTTCAGGCTTATCTGTTAGGATACTTTATCCCTACCTCAGGTTCTTTTAAGACAACTTGCTACTCTCTGAGGCTTTCCAAGATATTTCTCTTTCGATCTTTCGATTGCTTCCTCCAGGGGCTTTACGGAAATTTGTGTTTATACTTCGTTCGTTCTTTCATTCATTTCATGGTATCGATTTATATAAATATGTTTACTCAAGCATTTCAACGAGACCCCACCGTCATACTATGTACTGTCCTCTAAGATATTCGACAGCAACTGCTGTAATAATTAATATCATTCACAAATGATAAGTACAGGAACGTAAGGCATACCGTAGCCACTCCTGCAGCACTTCACAGCCAAGACCAGTATTATTCGACTTGCTCGCAACGGAAACGGAAATATTCTACATTAACCATAATTAACATCACAACAGATTTCCCAGTACTTGTTTTCCCCTGAGTCGCGGGAGACTTTACAAACATACATGAAATTGACACAAAACACCCAGACTGAACGAAAATTTGTGGATAACACAAAGTGTCGTCACTACGCCATCCGTGCAGTCAAGAAGTATTAAAGAAGGCTAATTGTAATTCATTAAATCAGGAATTCTAAATATAAAGAAAAAACGACTTGAGCTCAAAATTCTATTTTGGGATAAATATGTTCGAACGTCAATGTAAATAACAATATAATATTTGCACAGGACATTTATTTACAAGAACACTTTTACTTCAATATCTCCAATAAGCTCTAAAAAGTATAATAAAACAAATTTTTCTTTGAAATATATTTTTCACATACGTAAACAGACAAGAACGCAATCATTACAACAAAATTATTTAAATAATAAATCTGTATTAAGTATTCCAAAACTTTTATTTTAAATATAAAGTATTAAGATCTATGTACGCGGGTAAAGTAGCCTCCGGGATATTGTGATGAATACTTTCATTTATCACTAATATTTGATCGAATCTAGTGTTGCCAGCATACGTTTTATAATTCAACTATACGATTTTCGGGCTGATAAATAAAAAACGAATACTACTAAATACAGTCTCGAATCCCCCACACTGACCTTCTAAATAGACTAAGAACCTGCAAGCGACTTTTCCCGCGCTAAATATATATGGTGTTATTCAATAAGTTTTTTGGCCTTGAAATACCGGCGAAGGTAGAGGACCTGCCACGTGGCAAGACCCAGGAGACATGCCATGGAGAATAAGCTGAAGAATAAGACACGGTTGTTGGTGGACTCTGAAACAGAATAACGAGAGAAACTATCATCAAATTATTATTATCAGCATATCCGTTAGGAGTTAAAGTTAAAAATGGGAAAGGTTCGAACGCAGTGATAGTAGTTTTTGGTTGCTTTTTACCAATTGAGTGAGGTTATTGAATCCCAAACCCCACTCTTCCTGATTCTGGGGTAAGGGACTTCAAGAGCGGCTACGCACTTGTGACTTTTGAGCTTCAAGTGTCTATGGGTGCCAGTAGTCACTTTTCATCAGGTGACCCGTCTGCTCGTTTACCCCAGACATTTTGAACTACTGTACAACGTTTTCTAGTTAATCAAATAATAATTTATTATAGAAAAAAAATATTAAAAAACTCAATTTAAATTACCATTGGTGTCCCTCATTTCCTCTTCTCTCTTTCTCATTAGTGTAAAGTCTTGAACAATAGCTTCTGATAAATCTTCTAATCTTTTAAGTTCAAGTTCCATAGGCTTTAGTTTTGCAGCCTCACCAATCTGCGAAGATAAATATCTACGATATAAAACGGCTAAATAGTTGTCTATGGCGCGAAAATGTTGTGTTCTCACTGTGTTTTTTATGAAACTAAAATACAAGCAGAGTAAAAATAAATGATATATAGATAGAAGAAGAAAGTGTGTTAAAATACATAGCAAATATTCGACCCCCACATTCAATATGTTCTAATTTAATATATAATATAAATTAGACTGCATAAAATTTATAATCAATTTTTACTCGATTTCAGAAAAAGCAGGAGGTTCTCAATTGGACTGTATTTTTTTGTTTGTTACTTTAGATCTCTGTCATTTGTGAACTAATTTAGAAAAATATTTATATTTGGAAAGTTATAACTACCTGCTTAGTCTCATTAAAATTTGAGGAAAAAAGATGAAGGCATTCAAGATGGTGATACATTTTTCAAAGTTAATTACTAGTTCACACGTACCGGTACCCAGTGTGTACTCTATTCTATGCAGTTTAAACATATTTGAGTTCTCAGTAATCACCCTATTTTATTAACTACAAAGTGGCACTCAAGAAAATAAAAATAATACACTGGCAGGAGTGATACGAAAAAGGCAATAAATATTTTAGCATAAAAAATACGATCGCCTCTTTTTATTTAAATTTTGTAAAGATTATTTAATGTTTGTAAAGACTTCAAAAAGCTCACTACCTACTTTTTCCTATATAAAGCATTAGTCCGTTCCCAGTTAGAGTATGCTGTACCTATTTGGAGTTCCTTTTATAAGAAATATAAGCAGAGGATTGAAATGGTACAGAAAAAAATTCTTCATACTACTTATTACAAATGTTTTCATGCTAGGATTCCTTATGTGGATCTTCTGAAACATTTTAAGCCCTTAAGCTTGGAGCATAGATGCATCTTACTAATATTACTGATGCTGTACGGCATATGCAATAACAAGTATAATACGGAATTATCAAACAGGCTATGTTATGTAGTACCCAGGTCTGTCATTCGGAGGGAGGTGCGCGTACCTTGATTATTCTACACGGAAAAGTGTAGAACTAATGCTGGAGAGCGTGCACCTCTTCGCCGATTATTGACAACGTACAACTCACATGTAACGAGCTTGGATATTTTCGCTCTCACTCACTAAATTTAAAAAAATTCTTGCTGATCTATGATAACATTTTCAGTTAACTACCTACCTATCTTATATTATTACATATAATTCACCGATTGTGTATAGTGCGCGTCCGTTACCTTTTCTACTTCATCTATAAACTCGTGGACAATAATGTGGGTTATACGTTTTAAATATGTAAATGCTAAATAAATTGTAAAGACTGCATTGTATAACTGTTTTTATCCCTAATAAGTAAAATAAAAAATAAAAATTTCCGATAAAAATAAAATCAACTCCAAACGTTATGGATATGTAAATGTGAATTTGATCACAGTGTTTCTATATTTCCTGTCTTTTCGGACTACCTGAAGATATGCTCCCGTGGGCACCAATAGTTTCCCACAAGACCGTTTTCATACCAGACATAAAAAGAGAGTAATCTTCATATAAAGATTATTACAAGAACTTTTACATGTTTCTGCTCTTATGCTCTATTCTACATATTCTGATCGGTAGTAGCGAAGTTTCGGTGTAAGCTTATACTTGACTTGGATAGAGTTCGTCCCTCTCAATAGATAACAAATGCATAGGGTCATACAGGTAACCAGTTATCTAAATTGTCGAGGACAAATTGTCTCGATTCTACGATAGAGATTTCGAGAGTCGGCAAGACGATGACTTTTCAAATGAAAAATAAGTTTGGCCTATGAAGACATTGGCCAAACTTTGCTTTCATTTTAAAATGAAAGTGCTCGAAACCATTCATCGATTCATAGAAGTGGAAATGGGGCCTTGCCTAATGTGGTACACAAGCGGCCTGTGGTCTGCCTCCATAGTCTGATTCGTTTTGGGCGGAGGTCGGCTGTCGGGTCGTTTGCTTATTTTAGTAGCAGATAACATAATTCGTATAAGAATGACACTTTTACGATAAGTATGCTATTATTTTTCTTACAGATTGTTAAACTACACTAAATATACAAACAACAAAACATGCTATGTATGTGCCAAATTGACTGTTGTTGACAAATATTAATGTTTTCTCTAACAATCGGAAGCCTGATATATTGTGGTTAGTAAATTATTGACAAACATGCTTAAAATACACCTTAGCTTGTTAAATTCAATGAAAGCACACATTATTACCCAAGAATTCTGGTACATTGAAGATCATCATGGTGGTCACCGATAATGAAGAAAATACATTAGAATGATAAATAATAAGCCTAGTAATATATCTAGCCTGATGGTGCTATCGGCTTTTATTTCTTTAAACAGTTCCATAATACCAATTAATAACCCAGGTTAAACAGTGCAGGCAAATACACCTGATGTCAACTACATCATGCTCTAAATACTCTATGCAAAAAGTAATAGCTTCCTATAAATAAATATAAATTTCAGCAAGTTACAGTTTCTTAGAAAAACGTGGTTTGGTTATTTCGGAAAAAAACTAATTTAATTAAACATAGATATGTCTATGAAAAATATGACAAAATAGTGAGTTATCAAGTTCATAAGGAATTACGCAAATTAAATATATAAATAAAAGAAATTAACTAAACTAAAATGAAAGAAAACAAATAAATATAAGTCTACCAACAAATGCAACAAATACTAAATAAAATCTGTCTGTGTAAACTGTTCTTAAATACATAATAAATTGTTGCCAGCTTTAAAATTATATCTAGAATAGTAATTTCAAGTACTCTTTATCTTGTATAATAATTGCCTTAGTAGAAACAATTGATATCTGTATCTTATATTTAAAATTCAAATTGTACTTACACCTTCATAATTCTTAGCTTCTATTCCGATTTTGATGTCCAACATCACATCTTGACTAACTCCACGGCGTTCTAGTTAGAAAAAAAGGATAATTTAAATTCTGTGTACTAATGTTGCAAGAAAGAAAAAGTGCATACAAGGTTTGTTGTTTTTTTAGTAGAGGGAAGTCTGCGAAATGCTTGATAATAAAGTCATATAATATATAATTTAACTTGGGCTACCGTGCAGGTATGTATAATGAATTTAGCATTAAGTGAAAAAAATACAGTTTTTTTTTTGGAAATATGTGATTGTGAACAGCAAAGGTATACAAGTTAATCTGTCAATGCAAGCTTATGTAACACAGCACTATTGTTCCAATGATTGTTATTATGTTGTTTTAAACACGAGTTATTTTTTAGAATTCAAGACCATGGTACGGAAAGAATATTTCACTGAGTTATAAGTGGAGATAGGACACACTTTCCTTCAATTAGGATATACTGCAAAGAGAAGGAACACTTAAAACTAATCCTATACCAATCCGTTCAGCCAGGCCAGCGTGGTATAGTAGGTCCAAAGCCTCCTTCTAACGAGAGGCCTATGTACAGTAGTCGCCCAGTGAAGGCTGTTGATGATAATGATGAGACTACATTATGAACTATTTGGATTGCATTATATCGAAATGGATAATGGTTTACTTACCATGAGGTACTTTTGAAATAAAACACACTTCAAACGTGTCATATGTTTCTGTTACAAATGTGAATTTTCCTCTAGTTATACTATCTCTCTGTGACAATATGTGGTCTTTTGAATCACGGATCTGAAATAAGAATTGTTTACTGTTTGTTAAAGCTATTTTGTTTATAATGGTAGTGAAGACCACCAGTTGTCTTTTTTTTAAAAAGACAACTCCCACACTACACGTTACGACACTATGCCATCTGCGCAGTCATTATTACTAATGAAGACTACTACCTCCTCATTGAACCTACAAATCCTAACCTTGATGCATGCCTCAGATCTATGTAGGGGGCAGTATAGAAGTGCCAAATAAGTATTTCCCAACTGGGACAAGTCCAGTAGACATTTGTTTAGAGTGCACAAGTGCACCGTAACTAGTGCTATATGCAGCAAACATTTATTCAGGTATTCTAGCTATAGATATATTATAACAATAATATTTCTGTCATCTGACACACAACATCATCTAGTTTCAAACTATGCAGAGCTTGTACTACGAAAGCTAGATTGACTAATAGAATACATAAATTTTATACATAGGAAATACCCAAACTCCGAAACAACTATTTGCAGATCCACCACCGCACTGCACCACCGAGGCAGTCTATTGATAACACACTTTTCAAGGTAGAATGTAAGTGGTTAGACATGGATTACACTATATTTATATCACCAAGTTTTCACATGTTCTTACTGTATCAAGTATCACCTAGCAATTTCTATTATATAAACTCAAAATTAAAACAAAAAACTGAACACTTATATTTACACAACTGCATAACACTTTCAAAGGGTTCAAAATTCAACAACATTTCTAGGAACCTGCCCTCACAGAACTTGTTTGATATCAGCAAAAAACATGTTTTCTGCAAAGATCCGAATTTCATAGACTAATGCATTTTATAAATAAAAACTTCTCAGAAATATATTTTAATAAAAGATAAATAGTCTTGATTACATGCTATAGTTTGGACAGAATATCTATGTTAAAGTATAAACCACCCCAAAATGAATTGACAAGTGAAATTTGTTTTAATATATATAACAATGTCTTTTACTATCTATAACTTTGGAAACATATTGGGTAAAATGAAACTTATAATTAGTGTGTGTGTGTGTATACTTGTGTTACAAGTCAGGCAAGGTTTTATATTAGACATAACTGTACACATTCTGGTACAACCATGACCAGATAGTTAGACAGAATAGTCGATAATTAATCGTGTACGCAGGTACGATTAGAATTAAACCTGAGGTGTTGAGTTGTTAGTTTGTGGCGAATATGCGTATACAGTTACAAATTCTCATCTAAAATAGTCAGTAAAAACCTGTCAAAAAAATTATTACTTACAATATAATCGACCCTCTGTCCGGCAACTTCTGGAACATCATATTCTCCAGCAACCAGCACGTTAGCATGCAGTTCCTCCTTCAAACATTTCTGTGTGTTAGGCGCAAGGGTCCACATGATAGCGTCTGTGCCGTGCCATAATATACTTAAAATCAACGCAAGATAATGCACCTCCATGTTATTAATTGTTATATTTAATCTAACACGTAATAATTAAGTCACAATTCATAACATAAAGAACTGAAAACAAACATATTCTATGTCAAAAAGACCGATGAGTTGGCCCGAAATGAGAGACGACGTCGGCTTTTTGGTAAGAAGTTGCCATGTTATAATGAAATCATAACACGTCACGTCAATGGCGCTAACGGTATTCTCAAATTATTATTTTAAATTCTAATAAGTGTTTACATATCATCAATAGTGGATGGTTTTGCCTAATATCCCTAGGCCTATTTTAAAGCATTGCTATATAATTTTGGAATAAAACAAATAATAAAGGTCTTAATTTAAAGCAGATTTAAAAAAAACACTCCTATATCATAATATTGCGTAAAATGATATGTAATTCAAATTTGCATATGAAAAATGTATGTTTGTATTGTAATGTAGAATTATAGACTGTAGACATGGGAAACTTAGAGTAAGTATCAATAGAGTTATCAGAGAGACCGGCCCTAAAATAGTAAATTATGTTAAGCTTTGTCACCTATAAAAAAGCCGTGTGGTGTGGCGTTGTGGACAGCCGATAGGAACGAAGTTTTGATAAATATTTCTTTTAAAATTCAAAAAAAGTGCATAATATTCTTTAAATATATTCACAAATAAAAAGTGGGCTTATTAATAACTACATCTCGAATACTATTGATTGTAGAGAAACAAGACTGGTCTCATTTTGTTCATTATCAAATTTCTAAAAATCCTACGCATTATGTCTCGAGCTCCGATGCTCCGATATTTTTTTTTTTATGTTAGATGGGGCAGACGACCAGACGGGTCACCTGATGGAAACTAATATATATTGGCCTAATATATATGATATGTTGTTCTCTAGTTATTAAAAAAAGAAGCAAGTAGACGGATTACTTGCTCTCTCTCTCACTCTGCAGGCAGTGAAAGCATAGCGAGAGAAATAGCAACTAACGTGTTTTCGTAACGTACGATTTTTCTCGCGGAATCCCTCTCACCACATTGTCCCATAAGAAACTTCATTCCTACGAAAATTCATAATAACATTATTGACAATTCCAATCTAGATCAACGTTCCAAGTACACTCACAATTAGTACTCTAGCTGCTTTGACGAAACAGTACGATGATTAAGCGTGTGAGAGACAAAGACAAAAACTGCATTTAGCACTGCTCTAAAACTATTCCTTCTCAATGAAATGAAATGCAGGATTTACTCAAAACTGGAAAGTGCAAGTGGATAAATAACAGCATTATAACCTAATTTGTTATACGTATATTAGGTCTTTCTCTTCAAAATTGCATATCGATTATACTTTAGTTATGATATTTTTATGTGTTACGCTACTGTGAAGTTAATCTTTTAAAGAGAGTTTATGGATTTCGAAGTTGCAGCCTTGGCACTTTGACAGTTCTATAGATTGCTACTTTTCCAGAAATAATTAAATTACTTATCAGATTATTTATTGATTTGGTTTATCAGGAGTTTACATCAGCATATCTTAATTTACATCTGTATTACAATAAATTACCGTAAGTACTTTAAATACTTGTATGTGTTTACATAATAGTTTAAAGTTTCAATTGATGTGTTGAATGCATGATATTAGAATTTAGTTTTCCACTAAATCAAAAAGTGTGGTTTTGTATCTTACTCTCAAAAGTCCTATTATCAATCATTGGCACTTTAAAATTAAAAAAGTGATACCAAAAAGGTAAAAAAACGAGATTAAATTATTTATATCGAAAAATTGAAAACTTGAAAAATAATGTTAAGCTTTATTAGAAAACAATAATCATAGATTTAATAGTTTTCCTGGTGATATAAATATTTTGAATAATTAAAAAAAGTTGAAACTATTCTAAAGAACTTTGGCTATAGTAGATTACAGTAATTTTAGTTAAGATAAATGCCAATAAGAATTGTTAAATGAAAAAAGAAATCACACAAGATTCAATATCCTCTGGCTATTCATTATTTCCTAAATTGATCTGAAACTTTAGTTTCTTACATAATTATTATTATAGTATAGTAATAGTAAACAGTGTTATTTGTATAGTTTTGAATTGTTATATATTGTTAATCAATAAGGGACAGTCTTAAATTTGTTAAGTCTAGAATAAATAGGTTTCTTTTTGATACTTGCCATCTAATGAGTTGGATAATAAACACAATCCTTTATCAATAAGAAAAAATGACTGTCAATCATGTCTGCTTCATGCTTTTGTATTTAGCTAATGTTTTTTTAATGGAAGAGGGGCTAACGAGCAGACGGGTCACCTGATGGAAAGTGACTGCCGACGCCCATGAACGCCTGCACCACAGGAGTCACAAGTGCGTTGCTGGCCTTTGAGGAAAGAGTATTATGCTTTGTCTTGAAGGTTTGAAAATATTATTATATAAAATATTTTAAATTCCAAAAAAAATCCAGGATCAGCGTGGCTATGTCTTCTCGCTACAAGCCTGTGTTTGATGGTGCTATTAACTCAGGACAGATGTGTGAAAGGCAACCGTTGCTTTATATTCTTGAAAATTAAGGTAAGTCAATTAAGTAAGTACATATGGTTATTTTTAAATCTTTCAGCTGCCTTCAACAAATAATAAATTAACAATGAAATTATTTTTGAATTTATTTTGAGACCTAAATTATCACTGACTAAACTTTTTAAATATGTAAATAACAATAGTAGGTACTGATAACTTGAAAAAATTTGTGGTTGTCTGATCCTATATTAGGTAGAGTAGACTACTGAAAAAAACTTACATATTACTGTTATATTACATAATATACTATGATTGCCTCAGTGGTGCAGTGGAAGCATATGTAACTACTGTGCTGAGGTCTCGGGTTCAATTCCTGGGTCGGACCAAATGTTTGTATGATCTGCAAATATTTGTTTTCTATGTAAAATATGCATTTACAAAAAAAAGGTATCAGTATCAGTCAATCTAGCTTATTTAGTACAAGTTCTGCTTAGTTTGAGGCTAGATGGCGTTGTTGATGTTCGAAATATCATAATAGCCATATTCCACAAAAACACATGACACCACACAAAACATGTGACCACAGTTGTCAAACGATTTCTAGACTTTTTGGTCCTTGTAATAGAAGTTAAACCTATGACATCTGACTTAGCACTCAGGATGACCATAATACCCACACCATACTACCTTAGATAAATAACACATTTTTATGCATACAAATATTTGCAAGAAGTAGCAATTAACCCCATGAACTCTGATATTGCAGTTGAATGTATTACTGCTGTTATATGCTGTCAAATTAAAAAAAAAAAACATTCGTTCTCTGGTAGACGAGACGAAAATTTACATAGAGACATAAGCATAGAATGAACAAGAGCCCCAATCTTGCAGTATGGGCAACGAGAGAGATATAGATAGATGCCTCTATCTCTTTCGTTTTGAGCTCTGTAATTGGCTGGGGAATATGAGGGGTTAATAAGAATCCAATTGCATCTTAGGTATGTACAGGGAGCTACAGGCAAACAGAGACATAAGAAACTATCGGGCATCCATCTCTCTGTATCGCTTCCACTTGCGGGCAGCTGTACCCCGTGTTCTCTCTATGTTTTGCTTCATTATTTGCCAAAATTGGTTTCATTATGAACTTCGTCAATTTAATTGTTGTATTACACAGCTTTTCATATAACCTCAGAGTCAACCAGTGCTAACTTAGATTTTTCGACGTATCTAAAAACACATAATTTATTGATCTTTAAAGAAACTAAATGTATTTGAATTTCAATAAGTGCCGCCTCTCATCACTAGATGGCGTTAGTATCGGTTTTGTTTGTGTTCGATGTTACTAAGATCGAATATTTTGTTTTGACTGCTGTTGATAATATAGTAGATAAATAAATTAAAAGACATTTACCTTTTAAACTAGCAATTTTTACTCCAAACTTCCACTTATTATCATCTATTTATTGTCGATTTCTTCATTCAAAGCTTGTAGGAAATTATCAGCAACAAGGCTGCTTTAAAGTTCAAATTTACCAGATCTATTTTAGAAATTATTTCTTGATGTACAATAATATATTTTATCGCAATAAAAAGAAAGTCTTAAATACAATTATTTAAAGATACTTTTGCAGCTTCTCACTTGCATGAATACTTAAAGTTTTCACACTGTGATTGTTAAACAATTCCTTCGTTGTTTCCAACCGTATGAGTGAGTATGGAGAATTAGTTGGGAGGGGCACTCCCCAAAACAGTTTTTTTTTGTAATAGAGGGCAAACGAGCAGACGGTCTTCTGATAGGGTAGGGGTTGTTAGGCCTCCGGAACCACTCGGTTAAAAGAAAAAAAATATTATCACCGGTTTCTATGAAGTTGTGGTATTACTCTGCCCATGTGCAGAAGCATGACAAGTTATAAATGTTAAATAAATATTTGGGACATCTAACACAACGCCATCTAGTTTCAAACTAAGTAGAGCTTGTACTATGAAAGCTAGATTGACTGATAGGATACTTATTTACATTTCTTTTTGTAAATACATACATATTATACATAGAAAACACCCAAACTCAAAAACAAATATTTGCAGATCATACAAAGATTTGGTCTGAACAATTTTACGCGAACGAAGTCGCGGGCACATGCTAATTAACAATAATAATGAAAAAAACAATTTGTGAACTATTCTTGACTTTGTTTTAGCAAGAAACAGTGTCAACGGTACATAATTTAAACAAAACAATCATATTTTTATCTTTATTGCTTATTATTGAACATTGCACTTGAACATTAACTCAATTAAAATGTAACATGTTTAAATTTTCATTATCATATTCGTCGCCATTCATTTTGATATTCTTCAACATTTGCAGTTGGCGAAATAAATATGTTTCAATATAGGTAATATGCTTAACTGGCCTGTTGGGTTAGTGGTTTAGCGATTCTGAC